AGAATCTACGTCAATTGTCACTGTCCACAAATTATTTTCTCGTTTTTACCTATTTTCTGTCAGCACAAAATTAACATCCAATGGTCAATCCCATTTTCTTGCAAAGTCCATACAGTTCAAAATCTCTTCGTTAATTCCATTTTGCTAAAAGTTACAGCTGAACTTTTTTTGTATACTTTGTTAACAAGATTTTTGTTGTAGGTTATAAAAGCTTAAGGAGATTTAAGAACCTGGAGATTCTGGATCTCTCTTCAAATAGATTCAACCAGAGCATATTTCCCTTTCTTAATACTGCTACATCACTTAAAGGTCTGTTACTTGGGTGGAACTTCATGTATGGAGCTTTTCCTATAATAGGTATATTTGGTTTTTGTGCGGTAATCGCTGCATTTTGCTATCTCTTTCTTTTGGTTCTAATCATTGTTATACTCTCATGGACTCCTTTTCAGAACTAAAAGACTTGGCAAACTTAGAACTGCTCGATCTCATAGGAAACAGTTTTAACGGATCCATACCAGGTAGAAACTATGTCATTTGTTTCTGTCCAAAAATGATTTTTCTCGTTTCTTCAGAGTAGAACATAATTGTTAAATTGGTTTTTGCCATCACAAGATGATCCTATCTATATTAATAAGAGCTATTTTACTTTGTGTGTTTTTGTCTTGTAGCAGAGTTGATTCATCTAAAAAAGCTGAAAACTCTGGATCTAAGTTTAAATAATTTTCTAACGTCAATAGTATTGCAAGGCAAGCTTTTTTTTTTTTTTTTACTTTCTTTTCGTAGGAAAAAATATATCTTATTTATATCTTTTGGGATTTACTTTATTTCAGATCTAAAGAATTTGACTAACTTGGAAGCCCTGGGTCTTGCTGAGAATAATCCGGATGGCCCTATACCAATAGAAGGTGACCTTTGTTTGCTTCAACTCTAAGATTTGATCAATGTGAACAACATAACATTTTTTGAACGAGAAGTGTCTCGTGACTTCTCGAGAGGAACACAATTACTCTTATGATTCTTAATAATCTTGTTGTTTTCCAAACTATCTTTTTGCAGTAATTTGTGAAATGAAGAATCTACGGGAGCTCGATCTCAGAGCAAATTATGTTGTAGGTCAGCTTCCTCTTTGTTTAGGTAGCTTGAAAATGCTAAAAGTTCTTGATCTTTCATCCAACCAATTAAGTGGGAATCTACCATCTAGTTTCAGCAGCCTTGAGTCCCTTGAATATCTATCATTGCTAGATAACAACTTCACAGGCTTATTCTCGCTCAATCCACTCACCAACCTCACGAAGCTCAAAGTGTTCAAGCTTTCATCAACAACTGATATGGTACAAGTAGAGACAGAGAGTAATTGGCAGCCAAAATTTCAATTGAGTGTCGTTGTACTACGGTTATGCAGCTTGGAGAAAATACCTTCCTTTCTCGTGTACCAGTATAACTTGCGTCTAGTTGATCTATCTAGCAACAGATTATCCGGAGACATTCCTACATGGCTGTTGGTGAATAATCCAGAACTTGAAGTCTTACAGTTGCAGAATAATTCATTCACTTTCTTTCAGATGCCGACAATAGTGCATAATTTGCTGGTCTTGGATTTTTCAGCAAATAATATTGGTGGGTTGTTTCCTGATAATATCGGCCGTCAGCTTCCAAATCTGTTACATATGAATGTCTCGAATAATAAGTTTCAAGGGCATTTTTCGTCGTCTATGGGTGAGATGAAGAACCTTACATTCTTGGACCTATCATATAATAACTTATCTGGGGCGCTACCAAGAAGCTTTGTTACGGGTTGTTATTCACTAGAATATCTAAAGCTCTCTCACAACAAATTTAGTGGTCATATTCTTTCAAGAGGAACAAGCTTCACTTCAATAGTAGTGTTGAGAATGGATAACAACTTATTTACAGGGAAGATCGGAGTTGGTTTGCTTAGTTCCATCACTACGTTGCAAGTTCTTGACATGTCCAACAACTGTCTCACAGGTGCTATTCCAAGTTGGATATCTAAGTTACCTCGCTCGGCTTCCTTATTGTTATCAAACAATTTCTTAGAAGGTACAATACCACCATCGTTGCTGCTCATGTGGTTACTAGACCTTTCTGGAAACCTATTATCTGGAGCCTTGCCGTTACAGGTTAATGATAGTGATTTCGGGAGATATTTGTTCCTAAACAACAACAACTTTACAGGGCCAATTCCAAACACGTTGTTTAAAAGTTTCGAGATACTTGATTTGCGAAACAATAAACTCTCTGGGAGTATTCCGCAATTTGTCAATACCCAGAGTACAAGTATTCTTTTGTTGAGGGGGAACAATTTAACAGGATCTATTCCAAGGGAGCTATGTGATTTGAGAAGGATAAGACTTTTGGATCTTTCAGGTAACAAGCTCAATGGGTTGATACCTTCATGCCTCGTTAATTTATCATTTGGACTTGGAGGCGAGGAGAAAAAGGAGGGTACCTCCTATTTTTCAATTTTACTTAACGACATTCTTACGAAGGAGTTTTACAAATCCAAAATTGTGGTAGAGGAGCTTGTGGCATACCACTTTAGCTTTCAAGAAATTGAAATCAAATTTGCATCGAAGCAAAGGTATGAATCTTATTCTGGAAGATCTGAATTCAGCAATGGAATACTTGATTTTATGAATGGGATGGACCTGTCAAACAATGAATTAAGTGGTGTTATACCAGAAGAGCTTGGAGGTCTCTCGAAAATGCAAGTCCTGAATCTATCGCACAATTTCTTGTCGAGTTCTATACCATCCAGCTTCTCCAATCTGAAGGATATTGAGAGTCTTGATCTTTCTCATAACATGTTGCAGGGAAGCATTCCTCACCAGTTAACCAGCCTTACTTCTCTTGCTGTGTTCGACGTGTCTTACAACAATTTATCAGGAATCATTCCCCAAGGAAGGCAATTTAACACGTTCAACAAAGAAAGCTACTTGGGCAATCATCTTCTTTGTGGACCACCGACCAATAGAAGTTGTGATGCGAAGAAGAGGTCAGATGAAGCAGATAATGGAGGACAAGAAGACGACGATGAATCTGCTGTTAACATGTTGATCTTCTATTTTAGTACTGCATCAACTTATGTGACGGTATTGATAGGCATTCTTATACTTATGTGCTTTGATTGTTCTTGGCGTCGAGCATGGCTCTGCATTGTCGATGCTTTCATCGCCTCAACTAAAGGTATGTTGCCTTAAGATCTGTTGAGCTCAGTTCTTGGATACTTCCATAAAGTTTTTGTTTATGTACGACTTGAGTGCCTTTGTCGTGTTGGAGGGGAGCGGAGAGTCTGCAATAGCTTTTGAGTGGCTTTGTCATGTACTTTTTCTTGTTTTGGATTTGAAAACTTTGTTTATGTACTTGTACATTGTTTTAGTGAGCACTCTGATGTTTATTTTTTCTAACAAGTACCGGATAGTTTTAAAAAATTTCGTCTCTAATGATACTTAGCCTAATCCGCGATATACTAATATATTGGATTACCGCGGTGTCAACTTAATTGTGAAGGTCTATTACATGACATGTGAGGATGGCATATTGGTTATGAAATGTTTGACTAGCCTAGTAAGAGATTCGCAACAAAACGTTTGTCTTTCTAGATGAGTACATGACATATAGCCACAATTGTCATCCAAATGGACCGACTGGTCTAGCAATGGTTGCATTTTTATATATATGATTAAATATTTGAAATTTGAAAAATATATTTTCTCTAAGTATATTTAATATTTCTATATGATTGGTTATTGATTTTTATTTTTTTTTTGTTATTTTTAATTAATTGCAAATATTTTAAATTAATTGTATATTGTTATTTTTAGTATATCTATACGTTTTTTTGTTATAATTCTAAAATGTTATCGTAACTCAAAAGTTGAGAGTCTTTTATGAGTCCAATAGGTTAGCAATTCGATTCTTTGCGGTCGTTTGAAATCTTCAAAACGACATCGTTTTGATTCAACGGAAACTTCTAACATAAAGTTAACCCCATAATCGTCTGGTTAACAGAAACTTAACGACATGCATGAAATGACCAAGTCAACGAAACTTGACCATGTTATCAAAAAGTTAAACTAAACATTACGATTTAAATGATATTTTGAAAGTTCGTCATTTTCCCTATTACTAAAAACGTCCAAAACATGTTTTAAACTATTTCTCTTTATCATCACAAAAATTTGTCATTCTTCATTTTCTAGGTTGTATATTTCTCTACTACCATCAAATAGAATTTCTCTTCAAAAATTCATTTTAGGAAATTATTTTTTTTTATCAATTTAATGGAATTAACGAAAAGCTGCCAAAATCAACCCAAACATTTTACATAATGCTTTTCATACCTAAAGAATGATACTTGCATTTTTAAACCTGAAACAATAAAAATTCTAATTATCTATCTGAACCATAAGTCTGTTAGCTATTTCCTACTTTGATCTACAAGATGTTAGTCAACCGTCTAACGGTGCTGAATTAGACGTGAAGTGTGAATGTATACGTTGTGGAAGAAACGCGTTATGCGAGTAGAATTGGAGGTAGATTCGGAGATTGTGATTGAATTTCTCATGATATGGATTAGTGATTCGCCTGTTGTCTTTCCTATGTACGTTTGTATTATGGCTTTATTTCAAAAAACTAAATAACTACATTTTATATGTATATAGAGAGATTATTCGTCTTGTCAATGGTTTAGCAAACTTTTCTTTTTCTTTAAACTTTCGCTTATTTATGTTAATTCGATTATGCTAAAAAAAATGTGAAAGGAACTACATTTCCGAGACATGTTAGAATGTAATTTCTTTTATTTTTTTCTTAAATAAAAAAGGTCGTCTCCCTCATTTCACCAAAAGAAAACAAATTATCCCCTAGAAACCCGAACAAAACAATTGCAAAAAAACAAAGGAAAAAAAAAAAGAAGAAGAAGAGAAGTCGAAGTCTCAAATCGGTGACACCAAATCCTACTCCTTCATTGATACAGTCTACTTCTGCATCAATGGACATTTGATTTCATCAAATCCTGCGTTAGGTGAGTAAGACGCTTCACCTTTGTCGGAGTTCCTTTCTTTGTCTGCTGTAGAAACTAGAGGTAATATTGTCCCAAGTTTTCATGAATCTGAGTAACTTTTATACTTGTCTGCTTCTGTTTACATGTTTCTTTGGTCCGTAGATTGAAGTAGAACTGTCACTCATAGTACAAGACTAGTAATCTCATTACTAAACAATTGGATTAACTAGATTTAGGCTATGTTTTGTTTCTTAGATTAGATTTGCTTATAATTTCAGATGTGATTTTACTTTATTTGATCTCAAGAACAGCGTTTTCCGAGTTTGTTAGTCTTGTTGAGCTTATATCGATTTAAGGAACCAGACGATGAGTTACTTACATGGGAGATAGAGTTGTTTCTATTGGCCTAAGTGCAATGTGTGGCTCCTATGTTAGTGCTTTAACTAATGCTGATTGATATATTTAACTTTCTAATCCTAGAAAATGTCATATGTTGATTGATATATGTTACTGTGTTTGTAGTTTACCAATGGACTCTGAAAGCGTCGTAGCTGTTGACGGGGCAGATTGTGCTATTGCAAATGGTGGTGTGACAATGGAAGGAGACAGTAGTAATGGAAATGGTACTTCAGAGAGTTTGGAAGGTTGTTCCACTCAGTATCCTATTGAGGCATCTGAGGTTGGAGACTAGAAATTTTAACTTTGCCTTCTCTGCACAAATCTTTGTTATTCACATTGCAGTTTTCTTGCTTTTTCCAGGGCACACAGAAGGAACAAGTGGATGACTCAAAACAGATGAGAGGACAAAAGGTCCAAGGAAAAGTCAAGCATGAGAAGACCTCTGGGGGCAAGAATATTCCATCGGTCTTGGTGAAGACGAAAAAAGATGGGAAAGCGGTGGCATCAAATGGTTCGGTTGCTCCAAACGTACAGCCGGTAAAGTCTCCTAAGAGCAAATTGGGCAATGGTAGACTGGCTCATGTCACGAAGGTTACTAATTTCTCTGTTTGCTCCAAAGATACTTGACCTCAATGCAGATTCTCTTATGATATTGTTTCGTTAGTATTATTACTGGTGATTAGTCATGTGTCTTTTTGGCTGAGAGTTGTCTCTGATCTCTCTTTTTTTCATATCAGCAGGGGAAGAATGACTCTACACCAGCTGAAGCGACCAGGTACCAATATCATTCTTAAAAACATGGTTTTTGTTTTTACATGGCCTTGAACACTTGAGCTTTTGCATTGGTTCATTGCACAAAATTCTTAACGGTTGACGAAAAAGTTCCACCAAGATCTTTGTGTTGTGATGTTGTCACATCAAAAGCTTCTGATTTATGTATTAGTTCCTGTCTTTGAATCTGGTAGTTCGTTTCTCTCTTTGATACAGGGACAAGCCAAAACTGATAGCAACAAGGAAACAAGTCAATGATACATCTGAAGATGATGCGCAGTCTTCCAAGTATTTATTTTTTGGATTTACTCTTTATTCTCATTTCCTTAGCATTTTTTTTTCTGATTAAAACTTACTTACTTTTTAGTAGTCCAAAAGAAGAAGATGGCAAACCTCGTCGAGCTAGTGTACTTCCAAATTATGGATTCAGTTTTAGATGTGACCAACGAGCTGAAAAAAGAAGAGAGGTTTCATTTGCTTCACTTAACTTATCCTCACAACAAACATGCAACCAAGTATCATATTTCGATGTCATGTGGTGCAGTTCTATTCAAAGCTTGAGGAAAAAATCCATGCGAAAGAAGAGGAAAAGAATACTGTACAAGCCAAGTCCAAGGTTGTGTTCTATGCTCCCTTGTTTGTTTAAAGTGTCCTCTTGTTCGTATAAATTTTCTAGATGCTCAGTCTTCTCCTGTGAATATTCTCTGGAATACTTGCAGGAAACCCAAGAAGCTGAGCTTAAGATGCTAAGGAAGAGTCTGAACTTCAAAGCCACGCCAATGCCTACCTTCTATCAAGAACCCCAGCTACCTAAAAGAGAGTTAAAGAAGGTGAGTGCATCTCTGCAACTGCTGCACTTTGATTTCTATTTTTCTATCATGTAAAATTGTATATACTTGTAGATACCAACGACAAGACCAAAATCTCCAAAACTCGGGCGGAAGAAGACCGATTCTGGAGCAGATTCTGAAGAAGCCATTACTATTCAAACCCCTCACATAGGTAGGCTGAGCTTAGATGAGAAAGCTCCTGTCGTCAAAGGAAGTGTTCCTGTTGAGACCAAGAAGCCACCAGTGCGCAAGTCACTTCCCAGGTTGCCTTCAGAAAAGACAAATCTGTCCAACGGGAAGGTGGCTCCAGCAAAAGCTGTAACAGCCTCAACAAAGACAAAACCCGAAAGAAAGAAACCAGATAAAGATGGGGATGCCCTAAGCCAGTCAAGTCCTGTAGGCGACAATGCTGACCCAGAAGATTCAAAAAAACAAGCTCCAAGAGTGGATGAAGACAGAAACGAATCTCACATGGTAGTGGAAGAGGTTGTGGTTGAACCTTAAAACCTACGGTACGATTGTTGTGACCACCAAAATCGCATTCATGTATCAGTTAAGGAGCTAAAAAGAAACAGTGTGATAAATGGATGAAATCAAACTGTTTATTCAGAAGATGGACAAAGAGTGAAAGAAAGAGATGCAAATTTGATGCTGTGCTTTACTTCACAAGGTTGCTTGCTGCTTCTATATTTCGTTCGTGAGAGCTTCAATTGTGTCGCATGATGTTTGGTCGTAATGCGTAAATTCTGTTTGGTTGTTTGTCGTAAAGATCTGTTTTTTTCATTCCGTTATGATGCTTAAAAGGTGAATTTTGAGGAGATTGTAATTGAGTTGTGTGCTGTGTAAGCTGTTCAACATATGCCCAACGACATACAAGCCAGTTGTGTGGTTGTTGAAACCCACAATGGGGTCAAGATTCTCAGTTCAACCGCGACAATATTTGACAAAAGGAAACACTAAATCACATAAAAGAAAATTGACATAATATTTTTGTTTAAATAGTTGGTACAATACAATCAACTTAAACCATTATTTAACAACCATCACTACAATTTTAACCAGAAAATGGTGAAATAGTTTCAGTTTCATTAGAACATTTGTTCCATATTTCGTTAGTTTTGATCATAACTTTAGAACTAAAACGTTTGACTTGATAGAATTGAAAAAACAACTTCATCCATTCTGTGTGGCATTGCTTGCCAGTTTTCACTATCATCAGACAACAATCTTTCGAAGTACTTTTGTTCCGAGAAATTGCGTCTCTATATTCAATGCTACATTCAGTCCCACCAGGTCCCATTTTTACACCGCAGTTAAGAAGATATTTGAGATGTTTTCTTGATTGTCCACGTATAACGTTGAGATTATAATCACCTGGACTCGGCCAATGTTTAAGCACTACATCAAACTCGTTGATTAGCATTTCTTCAAGATCGGCTGCTATGGCCAAACATTGATAAGAAAATGATAGCAAAACCATAACTGAAAAATATGTCATGAGAATGGTTTTATTCTCCATTTTTTATTTGTTTTAAGGTATTTTGATTTTATTTTTTTTATTTGTGTTATGCCACTAATTAAGATTTGTGTGTTTTATTTATAGTGAACGACTGTTCATTAATGTTGTTACTAGTAACTTTTTATTAATAACGAAATTATTAAATCAAAAGTTATAAAATAAAGAATATAACGTTTCTATTTATGATCAACAAGATATCTTCTATATATTAAATAAGAGTTTTTGTTGCTGATGTGGCAAGCGCACAATTTTTTTCAGCCTTTTTGTTTTGTTTTTATAAGTAATCTATACCACTTGCCAAACACTCTTATTTCCCAATAATACTTATTTTGATTATTCTAATACTAATTGACAAACACGTAAGAATCCTAAACTTACCAAAAATAATTGTTTCAAAATTTTAATATTAAATCTTACTAATAAATGTAAACAAAGTTTTTTGATATATACAAAGGAATTTAATGCATTTAAACTACAAAAAATACTTTCCTAAAATTAAATTTTCGTACAAAACAAATATAATCAATAAAATCCATAAAACAAATTTTAATAATCTTCTACTAAGTAAACATAAGATGAAACAAATATTCTTAATTTGTCACCAATCCAAATTTACAATGAAACCAAACACAACAACTTTGTAAATTACAAACATATTAAAAATTGATAATAGTTTAATCAAATATCTATATTTTAATATAAAAAAATTGATAAATTTAATAGCATAAAATTTATGTACGGGTTCTAACCTATTGTTTTGTTAAGTATGGTATGATTATTATTACTTTTTTCAATTTTATAAACTATATATACAATTTCTATACATTATTTTTAAAAAAATAAGTCTAATTGATCTCCAGTTGAATAAGGTTGTTTCGATGACACGGACACTATTTTAGTTTGTTGTATGAGTAATATTTAAGAACATTGATCAAATGTATTGGACCGATTCTAGAAATAAATTCACTATTTGATCTTAATCTTCATTTTTGTTTTGCTAAAATAAAACATATTAATTTAGGATCTAAAATACGGTGATCTACAAAGTGATATAAATTAAAATAATGATTATTTGGTGAGATAAAATTGTACGTACTTGTCACAAGGATCTGAGCTACCATCATGTTGTACCCTTTGTATTTTCCATCACCTAGATATACATCCTTGTGATAATTTTTATATCGTTCGCATTTGGTTTGTCTCACGAAATATATCCACACATATTGCTTAAACTTTTTTTAGGATAAAAAGTGATAAGAATATATTAATTTACTCAATTAACTTATCTAAATAGACATGATATACTCTAATCCCAAAAGATTGAAGTTGTTGTTTAATATAGTTCGGAATTGGATTGCCAACTGCTTCAATAGTAACTAGACCGAAAAAATTTGCCGCAGCAAGAACCTTGCAAATATTTGGGACAATTTGACTCGGACGACAAGTTTTGGGATACCACAATTATCGGTATCCCAAAACACGACATTTTTAGTACATAAGGAGTTTTTTCTTCAGCCTGTTAAAATTAAAAACAGAATTTCAAAAAATGCAGTTGATGAAAAATACAAGTTTGTAAATTTGAAAACTAATTCTCTTTTATCTTCTCAATGATTTATTATTAATCATCTAGGTATATCTTTTATTATATAAAGTTGGATTTTCAAAAGTGATATGTGTGATTGTGACACGTGTCATGTCTATTGATCAGATGTTGATATATGTTAGAAAAGATTTAAATTTTTTTCTTAAAGAAAAAAAACTGAAAAGACATATTTATATATACTAATTTAGGTCTATATCTAAAAAATTTAACTTTTATTTTTCTTAACAAAAAAAAGAAAACTAACATAAAAACTTTTACATGTGTTATTGGTCAATTAAATTTGGCATGTATTAGTTTAAGAAAAAACTTTAGCATGAATATGAACTAATAAATAATGACCATTGAAGTTAAAGTAACAATATAAGGTATTTAACATTAATTTAATTGAATAAAAATTGTATTTATCATTGTAATATAGTGTTTTTATTTGTTGAATGAAAACACAAAATAATGAAAAAATACTGAGCTTATAAAAATGAACTTTGAATACTTCATGTTTATACTTATGTTTTATTATGTTTATACTTACATTTGGATTAAATGCGTTAAATTATTAGTATAGTTATACATATGTTTTATTCTAAAAAATTTAACGCATGTAGATGAGTGAAAATATAAAAAATTTTGGGGAAAATGGCTTATAGGATTGAAATTTTGATTACTTAATGAGAATGTTAGTATTGTTTTTGTTTATGTTTTATTATTAATTTTAACTCATTTAAAATTAGTTTGACATGAGTTAAAACTATATTTCAAACAATGTTTGTTTTTAAAAAAAGTTTCTGTATTTCTATTTTTTAATTAATTATGTTTTGTTATTGCTAATTATTTTTTATATCAACTAAGATATATATTTGATATGCATGCTATAAAATTTTTAGCACTTATCCATTAAGATGAATGTGTCGAATTCAAATCCTGTTTTACTGTGATGAAATAGATATTAAATTGTATTGCAAAATGAAATATGTAAGACTGAAATTTGGTTTAATAAAATACTAAATTAAATACCGAAAAAGTGTGTGGGTTACTATTTAGAACTCAAATATCATCGGTAAGATAGAGTATGAAAAATTAAAATTCACTTTATTATGATGAAATCTATACTATTAATTGGGAAGCACTCAAACATAAATAACCTTATAAAGTGTAAAGTATTACAAAAATGCCATTGTTTTTTGTTTTAAATAATATATTTAAATAAAAAATAGTAAAATTCTTTAAAGTAATTATTAGTTTCCAAAAAATTAAACTCACTTTCTCTCTCATATTAATTATGGACGAAAATTAAAAAATATTTTCTAAAAATTTGTTAACCAATGAGAATTAAAAAAATAAGATTTGATATCCAACTAAAATTTTATCTAAACCAATCCTAATAAACTATTCTATATCAAAAATAAAAAGAACAATAATACCATTGTAATTCAAAATAAAAAACACTATCGTTTAAAAAGTTTTATCAATTGAGGATTTTAATATTGAATTTGAAATTTTATAAAAGAATTAAATACAAATATTTATGACTCAGTTTTGTTATAATATTTTCACAAATTTTGAAATATAAAACAAAATTTTATTTCACAATTTATAAAAAAACGATATTAGATATTAACAAATATTTATATTTACTATGAAATAAACTCAAATAATGATATGTAATTATCGTTATGGCCTTCGTTTAGAGAAAGTTTCGGAAATATCTAAACAAAAGATTGGACATATTAATTTCGAAATATATTGTGTTTTTTTTTCTCAACCAGATCTTCTTTAAACAAATCCATAATATATTGCACACAGTTTTTGAAATAATGTGAACTAATTATATATATTTTGCATTCAAAACAAATTATGCAGCAATAGCATATCCCTTTTATACATGTATCTCAAATTTTAATTTTAGTCCCAAAAATCGAATTAATTATGATTAAACAATGAAAAGAAAAATATGCAAAATTTAGCTAGAAACATTAATAAATTTGTTTAAATATATTTATAACTTTAACAGTATACATATTAATCCGCAAAACTCACAATATATATTGTAATATTGTATGGTATTTAAAAGTAAGCAAACAAGAATTTGGAATATGATTTTAATGGAATAAAATGGAAATAGAAATTACGAGACGAGATGGGAGGGGAACATATATTAAAAATCAAACTAAATACTCAACTGGCATGAGTTCGGGTTATGAGCACTATATAAAATAAATTTGTTTACACACGTAACACTGTACATACGTTTTCAGTTACACATACTATATTTATGACAGATATGGGACCATAATATTTTTATTTTACGTATACGTGACAGATTATGGGACAAAGAATTTATGACAGATACCGGACGGGATATTTTCATGTTCCAAAATAGTTACTCCTAGCTAATATACATGAAATAACCCAAACTAAAACCGAATTCATATCCTATTTAACATATGTAATCAAACTGTTAGAACTATTTTAATTAGTTAAGAAAATAAAAATGTAACACCACTTAACTTGTGCAACTAAATTAGTCCGGATCTTAAAATATAATTATGTATTAACGCAACTGAATTTTGTTCATTACTCTAACTTTATAATATTTATACTATTACGAAGTTCACTAACACAACAAATATTTTATATTTTTAAAATCTCTATAAAATTTTCTATAAAAATATCTCTACACGTATGTGGATCCAGATCTAATACACTAAAATATATATATCATAAAAAGTTAAAAACAACAAAATAATCTATACTGAATTAAAATTTGTTAGAAATTTTTTAAAATATGAAACCCCGCACGTATGTGCGGGTCATGATCTAGTAGATAGTTAAAATGTATAGCAAAATAGAATGTGTGAGACTGAATTTTTGTTAAAAAACTAAATTACAAAATTAAATGTTATGAAAAGTGTGTGGATTACTATTTACTATTCAAAATTTAAATTTGATTAATAAAATTTTACATTTCTATCTGACATCTGCCTATTTATATAGTCTTCAATTATTAACAGAATTAATATCTTTTAACGTTATACGTCTTTCATAAATATGGTTAGTTTAATACTACATTTCAGTTTATGAAAATATGAAACAAAGTGAAATCCTAAACGAATCATAATCTATAAGGCCCATTAGTCTTGGAATGGTAAGGGAAAAGGAGCCTAGGGGGCGAGCTGGTTGAGGCCTTAATACCCCAACATTTTGGCGTCGCAGTCCCATGGGAGGGGTATCAATAAGTGAATATCACATCAGTTAGATGAAGAATTGGGTGTTAGTATACAAGTGGTCATGACTTCTCTCCCTCATAACCTGGTTGTTGAGGAGGGGTTTGACTCATGGGCCTTAGTAGAGTGTCTCGATTGGAGTAGTCGAGCTGACCAAGGAGGGTGTACTCTCCGCTGTGATGGTGGCCTGTTGTGGATGGGGCTATTTAGACGGTGGTTTGGGATGTGAGACGCTTCAGAACTGTTGGTGAGTTAGGAGACTCGATAAAAGAGCCAGCTGATTAAGAACATCAAAGAAGAGTGTCAAAACCTTATGCCAAACTTGGTTGATGTACTTGTCATGTAGAAACAGATAGTCTCGTTTTAACATAACACGAATTTTCATTTAATTAATTGTTTTAATTAGTATTATTAATTAATCTTGAAATTATTGCATACTGTATTCAAACTTTTCTTTAGATGCTTGGGAGTTGGTACATTCTCATGGTCAAGGTTATGTGAACAAGACGCGCAATTCACAATGATTCTTTGTCTTCACTTTAAGGGATCATAATTTAGAAATCTGGCCCATCTTAATTAATTAATTAAGATTAGTCCACAATAACAATAATAGCGACAACGAATACTAATAATAATGACTCTTTTTCCACTTTTGTTTAATCCCACTCAAATCATATCGTATCGAGAAAAATAGTAGCTGGCCAGATTCTTCCCCTCTACCACATTCATTGAACATCACATTCACTTTTTAATTGGACACAAACAAACGTAAAGTAAAGTCAAAACTCAGGTTCACACAATCTGATTCTCTGTCCCACACATGAATAATAGGGAGTAATATGCTTAAAGGTGTAATTTCTCAGATCTTGAAGGATATGAAAGAAAAAGAAATGTAAACTTTGTAGTATTATACAACGAAATGAGAATTTTATTCAATACTCATTAAACCATCCCAAAGGGCATTACATAATTTAGTACAGTGTTTATACAGATTGTAATACAGTGCCTGGAAAAAAAAACGAGGGCTCTGGCAAAAAAACAACACAAAAAAACTCTTTAATAGAGTTGTTGCAACAAAAGCCAGAGCAAACCTCTGAGAGAACCAAGGCCTGAACAAAACCTGAACCCGTACAAATCATACAAGACCCTTCCGAGGAAAACCAAACCAAACAAAGACAAACGACGCGAATAAAATAGATAACTGGCTCGTAAAAGACACCAAAGCAAGAAACAGGAGATGATAAACCCTAAAATCTCGGATACCCGGTAAATATATTCTCAAGCAACGCACAACCTTCCGATTTCGAGATAAGTTTCCTTGATAAAAAGGAAACCCCGCAAAAAAACCATTGACTGGAAAAAAAGAAACCGGAAGCGAACTGCTTGGAAAAAAGAAGGAAAACCGGGTACCGAGCCTAGCGAGGGACGCGTAGATCACAGAGCCTGAAAAACAGTTGACACTTGATAAACGGACTTGGACGGACTAAAATACCTTACATTATAGGTGGAGAGGTCGACAGTGGAATTGTTGATCAGGAGAGGATGTCACATTTGTAAAGGCGCTCGACTAAGAACTCGACAGTGGAATTGGAGATGGATCGACACTGTTGGAGGTTTAATCCCAATAAAGTGGAACCCAACCCCACGATGGCTGGCATGCTCTTGTCTGTCACCATAGAGCAACCTGCAACTGATAGGATCTGCAGTTTGAGCTTATCAGAGGAAGCCAATGCATGAACCCCTGAATCTGAGATTGCGCATTTCGAAAGATCCAAATCACTGAGAATCTGGCAGTTTGCTGCAATGGAGACCAGGCTGGCGTCAGTGATATTGGAACATCCATCGATGTTTAAGACTTCAAGAGTCCACCCGTTACGAGCAGTGATGGCAGAGATCACTCTGTCGGTCAAATTGGAACAACCACTGAAGTTGACCTTCACAAGAGAGCTCTGAATTAGATGTAGGAAACCAGACTCTGTTATCCCCTTAAGCCCACACAGATCAATTTCCTCGAGCTGAGGGCACAACTTCTCAACGGCTGCAAGATTTGCATCACCAAAGCCAGGACAGTTACGAATAGACAAAGAGCGCAGAGCGCTGCAATGAGATGAAGCAGGCAATCCTGTGGTGAGATCTCTAATGCTCAAACAGTTCACCAGAGAGAAAGTCTTCAACTTTTCACCACAGTTCAAAAGGGAACCAAAAAACCCAAATTGGGTAACCCTGTGGCATTCTTCAAGCTGAAGACTCTCAAGTGATAAAGAAGCTTTTGCAAAAGAGACCAACCCATTGTCGGATAACAAAGGGGATTTACTGATGATTGCCTTTTTCATGTTTGGGCAGCCCTTTCCAACAGATTCAAGCCCCGTGTCAGTCACTCCCTGGCAGGCTGTGATGGTCAGAGAGTTTAATTTTTGAAGCCCGACACCATTTCCCATGACCCAGAATCCCTTCTCGCTCACGTGTGATAATCCAGCGAGCACAAGATCAGTGATCGACAAGCCGTAATGACCCACAACAGCAAGAGACACATCAGTGACATTCAGCATCTGAAGCTTAAGTTTTGCCAAGGAACAGGTGGTGTTAGACAGTAGAGAGGCGATTCCTTGATCCCTGACAAGAGGACAGTTCTTGATCGAGACTGACTTCAGCTTGGAGCAGGATCGTGCAATAGCTTGCAGACCCTCATCTCCAATTCTTGAACAAGCCTCCAATGTAAGCTCACTCAAGTTAGGGCAGCTCCTAGCAATCGCTACCAAACCCTTGTCAGTGATTGTAGAGCATCGGTTCAGGTCAAGCTTCTCAAGTTGAGGACAACCCTCAGCAATCTCCAAGAGGCCATTATCAGTAATGGTAGAAAGGTTCCACAGAGAAAGAGACCCCAGAGAAGGGCAGCTCCGACCAATTGACCTAAGACCAAGATCTGAAACCTTGCTACCAGAACTGCTTCCCCGAATAGACAGTTTACCGAGTCCCCCACGACCAGCTGTCCCAACAGCAATTGCAGCTAGTCTAACATCTGTTGCCTTCTTCCCATCTAAACTCCTAGACAAACACCCTTCACAATCATCACCATCTTCAGTTTTGTTGGAAGGAACATCAAGCTCCTTTTGCCGGATACTACTCACAAGCGTAAGCCAATGTTTCGAGACAAAAGCGCAAGCACTCCTATCTTGCGGTCCAGGTAAACGCCTAAAGATCTCAAAAAGGCACTCATCTGGAAGCACATCAATTGAAACTGGCTTTTTCTCGAAACCACTGAAGACCGAAGGTGCAACGACACGCGATCTCTTACTAGGAGGGAAATAGACATCCACGAAACTACCAAGCGACAACAAAAGACTAGCATCCTTCGGGTTTGGGTATATTGTGCCGCGACGGTAAAAATCATTTTCACCTGTAAAATACAAAAGTAGAATTTCTGATTAGCTAAAGAGATCATTGAATCACGATCAAATTCAGTTAATTAACCTAATGATTCTCAGATCCAAACAAAAACAGCGAAATTGCAAATTAAATCTATGGATGATAAGATCTATAGCTCGTCAACGGCAAACTCAGATCTATCAATTCTATAGATTTAGTAAGAATCAAGTCATCGGTGAACAATATTCTATAAGCCAAATCTTATTCATCATACGTAAATCACCTCAAACACAGAAACGCCTAAATCTAACCGAATATCAAATTCAAGCTGATAAATCAAACTCCAAGAAGAAATCGAGTGAAACAATCAGAGATCTTGAAGCTTACCAGCAAAACTATAGATCTGAGACATCATTTGAGCTCAAAACTCCCAGGAAAAACGAAAACGCTTGATTTCTCAAGCGAAAACCAGTGGGAAAGAGCAAAAAAGAAAGATCTGAAGACGATTAAGAAGAAAACAAAGAAATTAGCTCCGATTATAGCAAAGAGAGAGATGCACATGAAGATCAAAGATTGAGACGAGAGAAGAAAACCCTATGGATAGGGCAAAAAAAAAGCAGAGAGAGAAGAGAGGAGAGGAAAAAAAAAGGAAACGGAAATGATCGGTCAGTATGAGGTCAAGATATGAGTTTTTTATACTTAGTTGAAATTTTCACATGCAATGTATCTGAGCTGAGAATTCGGATCGTATTTAATTTTGTTTATTTTATTCCCACAACACACACAAAAGTTGTCTTAAGATAGACCAGTTTTTTCCCCCTTTGAGAACGCGTTAAGGCAAGCAATGAGGTGTTTGGTTACTTGGTTTATAATAAATTGTTTTTTGTTTGGTTTCTGGAACAACCTTACTCTTTTTGCTACGTTTGTGGCTGACGACGTCAGAATCGTTTTTGTTGTGTGTTTTCTCATCTTATCAACTCTAGAAATCAAACTAGAATCAACACGAACGCACTTGTCATTACAAGAAATTATATTAACTAATATCTCGCACGAACCTCAATTTAATGGTTATCATTTATAACACTTAAAAATCGAATCCATATAAAATTAGAGTTTTAAAACAGTAGGAATACACAAAATTTTCTAAAATAAGCAAATATAGGATGGGTTTTAAACTAACAACCCAAGTAAAATAAAAATAAAAGAAACTGAAATACAAATTAAATAGACAAACCAAAGGTAATTGGCCAAAGCTAAGCAATCATCCATAAACATAAAACAATAACAAAATAAATAATAAAAATGCAATTTATAAAAGTCAACGAAAAATCAGCAAAATGTCAAAGACGACAATGCTAAATGAATAAGTTTTTGGGTTAAGGTTATTAACTTGGAGATGGTCAAATGATAATCTATGATGCTAATACAATCAGTTATTTGCTAATCCTTAGGTCTAGGATCACTAATTTAAGTTAACCCACTTCCATGGCAATAATTCTACACTAATCAAACAATTAAGATTAATTTTTATTGTCAATCACAAGAATAATATGTATTATCCAAGCTTAACTACCCACGTAGCACCCTAACCATCAATTTCCATTGACTAAGAGTGCTAACCACTCACTAAATTCTTTCGGAAATTTCATCGAACACCTTCCGGACGTGAAACTTCTTGTGATCTAGACTAATTTAATCAAGACTAATCTAGCATTAAAAATCTATTGAAACTAAGTCCTAAGCATCACAAATCATCACCTAGTCACCCTAATCTACTTAACCCAAAAGCTCTAGGAAAACTACTCACTTAAAACCATGAAAATCCAAGGAGCTGTCATTAATCCTTGAATATTCATGTTACAAGAAGGGTAGAAGAGATAGATAAGAGATGAATCTAAAGAAAAACTTATGTAAAAGAAAGAATCACAAGAATTTAGAGTTGATAATAAAAAGAAATTACGAAAACTATGCTTAGGTAGCATAAAAAATCTAAAAATTAGGTTTAGAACATATTTATAGAGAAATAAAAACGAATCGGGTCAACCAGGAACAAACCAGGATTTGACCCGGTTTAAGCACCCAATCGACCAACTAGTCGATTTCTTCAAGTAAGTCAATCGATCGATTGCCCGATCGAATTGGTTGTGTCCAAGGCTGCAGGTTAGTCCCAATCGACTAGAAAATCGATCAAATGGTCAATCATTTTGCCTTTCTTCTCCAGTCTCCCAATCGCTCGATTGCTTCCTCGATTGTCTCTTGTCCTGAAGTCTGGCATGTACCCAATTGATCGCTCAATCGACCGGTTGGTCGATTGCACCTCATCCTCTTGTTTCTTCCCTTCTTTTAGCTCTTTTTTATTCCACTTGCTTCCAAAACTTCATGCTCCACTCCAAGAACCTAAAAATGAGAAATGCAATGAAAATATGCACATAATGACCTACACATGAATGCAAAATGATGGGAAATTAAGAGAAAAAAATCAACAAAAACACAAGATATCACACTAGAAGATTAACAACTAAAAGACACAAAGCATTCATCTGACTTTTTTGTTAGAGAAAACAAAAAAAATATAAGTAAATTTCTGAGGAAAAAAAATATTTAGAAAGTAACTCTAATCAAAGTTTGTATAAACAATCAAAAACATTTATTTTAATTAATGTGTAGTTGAAAAAAGGGTTTTGTGCAAAAAAAACCTCCAACTCGCCCATTATAGCAAATTTACCATTCATCTCCGAAAAATACAGATTAATTCTACGAATTCCAAAATAATACGCAATGTAACCCTTATTCGTTACCGTCAAATTCGTAAACTTTTGACAAATAATATATCAAATTGAAGCCCTTTCGATGAAGAGTTTCACTTTCCTTTTAGAATTTTAAAAAAAACTAATGTATATGACCGGAAATACGTTTACAATATACATATAAGGGTTATATTGCGTATTATTTTGGACTTCGTATGATTAATTTGTATTTTTCTTAGATGAAGGGTAAAATTATAAAAATGGACGAGTTGGAAGGTTTTTTTGCACAAAACCCTATAAAAAAGGATAACACAAAATTGTTAAGTTTTTGGTAAATTAAAAAATATCCTTGCAATTTATTCATTGGTCAAGTGACTTTGCCACTTCACATAAATGAGACTTCAAAGAACATCTATCAAAGAACATTTTCGCAAAAATGCATGTAAACGCAAAAAGTTGAAGACTATTGGGCTTTCCTAAGCCCATTCCAACTCCCCATTAGTATGATATTGTCCGCTTTGGGCCTATATGCTCAAGCCCGCACGGATTTGTTATTGGGCTCCTTCCCAAAAGGCCTCATACTAATTGGAGTTGGACTTTACTTATATATTAGAAACTTCTTTTCTAAACTTCCGATGTGGGACGTTGGTTTGTACCCAATAATCTCCCCTTCAAACCAAAGACCACGAACATTGGGCCTCCTCTTCAGCGAAACCTTGGCACCCTAACTCGGCACCTTCTTATTCGCGAAGTTCTTGAGGCACCTTCTTATCGTGTCACATTTGAGGGCTTCTCCCACACCGAACTTTAGCCCATACCCCTAGGTCCACATTTTTCAACCTAGGCTCTGATACCATTTATTGGGCTTTCCTAAGCCCATTCCAACTCCCCATTAGTATGATATTGTCCGCTTTGGGCCTATATGCTCAAGCCCGCACGGATTTGTTATTGGGCTCCTTCCCAAAACGCCTCATACTAATTGGAGTTGGACTTTACTTATATATTAGAAACTTCTTTTCTAAACTTCCGATGTGGGACGTTGGTTTGTACCCAACAAAGACGCATTGGTCAAGTGACTTTGCCACTTTGTTCGTCCTTGGGCGTTGAATCTTGTGCTTTGGTTCTCATGGTGAGCATGATGATGATGATGACGATGAATCTACTGGGTTTCAGATTTTTAGAGCTCTCTGGAGAAATGATAAAAGTTTGGATTTTTATTTTGTTTTTAAGTGGGTTAAAGAGGTGTTGGAAGACAGAAAAATGTATACTCAAAAAGGAACCACAATCGTTCTATCGTTCGTCCTTCTTTGCTAAACAAGTTGGATGCTAAACTAATCCAACTCTCTTTTGTTTCCGTATTGAAATTAAATCCCATTTGCCATTGAAACTATTATTTAAGAAAATAAAAGCTATCGAGTATCGATTCATCCTTTGTTTCCAACTCATATGCATGTAACTCCCACGTGGATAGATCTTACAAATTACTAAGCTCCAGCTAATTACAAACTACATTAATTATTATTAACCCGTTTAACTAAGATCACCTTAATGATGAAACGAATAGCATTATTTTTTTTTCTCTTTTATATTTAAGACTTTAATGAAAGAATATGAAATTATTTTAGTTTATACGTCTACATGCATTTTTATACATCCACATCCCACGAATTAGATTATGTATCATTAGATTTTTTATGTGCAATAGAGTTCAACAAAGTGAAACAAAAACAGAGCAAAAGCATTAAAGCTAAACAAAAGCCAATGACAAAAAAACTTTTGTCAAACAATTGATCATGAATCCAATGGCCCTTCAAATACAAGATATTATTGACATCACCCATCTTTGGTGGCACTCTTTGCTATGGCACGAGATATTGATTTAGCCGACACCTCCACCGTTACGAAAGCACAAGGCTCAAATCCACTAATCACATAGTTGATAAATTCAAGTTAGTAACAAAAAAAAGAGAGAGAGATCTCTTTCTTGGATTCTTAATCACCTCAATTGCATGGTTACTATTGAAGCTAGTTACTTACAATCGGTCAAGATCATTGAGGCGTTCTATAAAGCTCATAGGATAGTTCAATGAAATATCCGATCCAAAATAAAATTGTGCTAGCTTCCAACTTAGGAATCAATCCGATATAAAACATTTGAAAAAGTAAACGCAACAAAAATTTAAACCGATCGAGACTTTAAAAGTTGACTGATAGTTACTAAGGGAGATGTGTGAAGGCAATAACTTCATTACAAAACCATAACTTGAAATCCAATCCCAAAGACCAAGACATACAGATGGTTTTATAGTCTCGTTAGCAGACATACATGAGTAACAAATTACTATACGAGAAACTCGTTCCAACACTCTAGCTAATGGTAACACCATAATCAACTTATTTACCGAGTAGTGACAAATTTTCTCCAACTTATTTCGATATCTAGAGAATCAATCCCCATGTGGGCAAATAAAAATTGAGATAGAAACAAATCAGATTTGATGAACATACAAATCCTTCGACGATTGAATCACCATTACAATAATCTCCTACACCATCAAGACTCAGAAGGTTCCTTGGTACATATCAAAAAACCATATTCAACCTTCCACCTGTAAAAAATATGGTCAAATCGTAAATGATTTAAATTGGAATCTGAATGTATCTGTGGAGAGGACCCATTGCCCATTATAAACATATGTTATAAAAAGAAAAAGTGAACAAAAGACACCCAAGTGGTCGTGGAAGCATTATCTATCCTTTTCATTGCTTAAACAGCCCATGTTCTTATTATTGCAATTCTTCATGTCTCAATATCAACTAGGACATTATTTTATTGTTAAAATTCACATGAAAATCGTTTGGGCTTTTAGTAATATACGAATTTTTATTTTTCGTTTTCTTATGATGAAATTCAAATTAATTTTAAGATAGAGACCATCCTTCAAACAAAGTCCAAAGTAAAAACTGCCTAGGACCATCTCCATAGAATGCCAATATATCAGAAGCATCTCTGATCTCTACTAACTTTTTAAGGTTAAACTCTATATTGTTCAATATTATATTGTCTAAAATTTTGGGGTAGAATTAGAAAATGTATATTTATATGAACCTTTCAATTAGACATTTCTAATCTTTGTTTGATCTTATTTATAATTAAATTTGAATTATCTCATCATTTGTGTATATGAGAAATATAGTTTTTTCGCATAAGCATGCTATATTGCTATGGTTTGAAATTTTTAAAACGAATAAAATAGCCCTGATTCGTTGAGATATCTTTGACAATGTCTGAGTCGCATCGATTCGTTGAATTCCTTGTGCATCATTGTAGTCGATAAGACAAGTTCCTAGTTCGTGATTCCATCTGAATCACAACCATTTTCGATCACAATCATTTTTAATAAACCACAAAATGCTCCTAGTATCTTCTCGTATTTTCGATGTTCATAGCTTCGGCCCCTTATGTCAATTTTTTGTCCGAACAAATTACTCTTTAACCATAAATTCCTTAACAATAAGATTTTTCGTTTGGGCGAATATGATATGTGTTTCACATATGGTTTGATGTGGTTTGAAACCGCCATTTTAATCGCTTTTAAATTCCTTCCATGGCAACCGATTCTTTGAGGGTATTTATGTTCAAAATTCTTGAACTAAGTAACCGTTTAAGTGATTACATAATTGGCCTTTGCATGCTTGTCCGATCCATACCACACGTTATTATCCCAAACTTGCTTATCTACCATGTAGCTATATAAGCCCACTTAGCTTAGCTAGGTATCAATTAGTCTACTCAATCCGGTAAGAATTTGATCAGTTCACCAAGTGAGTTGAGCTGCCGATCAATTCAGTTCAACTCAAGTATTAAAATCCAATTCACTTGTCTAAGTCTTCTAATCAATTCTTAGATCATGATTACTAATTAAGTCAGTCAATCAATCGACTTATCATAACTTATTTCATCGATCATTAGTTTGATTCTAACATAGTCTTTGATCTGGATCACGTGATCATTCTCTTGATGTTTCCGGGTGATCATGTCTTGTTCTACTATCATTCACTTGATCTAAAAATGGCATTTGATATTTCCTTTGAATTATGAGTCGAGATATTTCGCCCTTAAGTTATTCCTTGGTCATTTCTTGATTAGGATTCAGTTTTCCTTGAACCAAACCAACCAAGACATTCTTATCGTGAAACATATGTCCTCTACTCCACCCATCTTCAATCACCTTATCCAATTACTTAAAATATTACAATGGAATATCCTAACAATCCTTAAAGCTTTAGCGTACCTCCTCACCCATTACTGAGCTTCGAACAAACAAAAGTTGATACTTTGTTACATTTTCAAATATTTTGTCACGAACATAGTGTAGGAATTCGCACCGGTTTATAACGATTTATAAATACTAATAACGAATTCAATTGCCAGGAACCGTGTAAATAAAGAATTAAATCTAGATCTTAGGGTTTGAATATACCTGGATATTCTGCAGCAGAAATATGAATCATATTAATTCGAGGTTGTTTTAGCACTCCAAGTGTTGTGCCTCTACCGGTATCCACACGCACACAAACTGGATCTCACGTAGTATGCTAGTACTGTTGAGATCTAATCTCAAAAACTTAGACAAATAATTTGTCTCTAGTGTTTAGGGTTCGGCGAGAATGTCTTATGATTAAAAGTCATTGTGCATCTCTTTATATAATAGGTTCACGTAACCTACAATCATAAAGTTAATGGGCCAAGCCCAATATCATACACGTACGTGACTCTCTCTACGAATAAGAAATGATAATCACATCTTGTGCACATATGTATATCTTATATACATATATTTGGTATTATTTTATTCAAGTGCACAAATATAAATATAGATATATATCATATATATGTTATATTTCCAATTTAATTTATATATCATATATATAAAATAAATCTTTTAACCCAATAATAGTTTAATCAAAATTAAACCCAAATATATATTTGATCCAATTTGCTTAGGTGTGTGACCCTATAGGATCATATGACAATAGCAATAGGTTTAACACCTATAGATTACAAGCGGTCTCTAGCAAAACATTATAACCACCTATTATCATATGATTGTCAAACCTCGACATTACAACTTTAATTAGAGTAAAGTACAACTGATTTCAGGACATTCCCAACACATTGCTATAGATCTCCGTACCAAGTAGTAGTATTTATATGTCTTTCAGTCATTAGATGGGTTCAAAATAGTAGGTGTTATTTAAGGAAAGAATAGTGAAAATGAGAAACAAATTAACAACTATATATAGTAGTGCTCAATTAATTTTAAAGGTCTTGATCAAAAAGCAGCGAAAACTTAAACTAACCATAACCCACCTATCAGAGTCTAACTGTCTAAGACGAGGTTCATGCATATTGAGTTAGTGACACCATGAAAATCGTTATGACAAATATTTAATGATCCAGTTGATTATGGAGTTAGTGGGCCGGTTCCACAAAAACATGCCACAATTATGTAAATTGTATGTTTAATACACAATTTGTGGACATAGTTAACTAATATAATCAGAGAAAGTTAACGGGAAATATTCTATGTACTAATCACATATTTGTTTTGTTTTAGTCATAATTGGATTATACTGGATCAACGCGGAACGATTACTATATTCTAGGTTTGAACTTGAGATATTGACAAGGCCAAGTCAAATTCGGTGTCGTTTGGGACTTGGCTATTGAGCAAGGCCTTTCTTCAGTTCTGTTTTAGCTAACACATTGAAGAAAATGATTCCTCTAGTACAACGTTTTCAAGCTGGGTCCGAATGTATTGATTAATTGAGATGAACTGATCATAATCGTGCGGAAAGGCATAAGAGTTTTATGATAAGACCCAAGACATTACCATTTTATGTGCGAAAATTAGAAGTTTATTATTTTATTTTTTTCTAAGGTGGTGTTATTCATGGAGTTAAAGCCTTAAGATTTAGATTTGAAATTTGATATTGTTTTTAAAAATCTATTTGTGTGGATTTCAAAATCTATGCATTTGATTCGAATAATTTCCTTATGAAACTCCAAAGAGATTTCATTTCAAAGGACTTATTATACAAAGATTTTAAAAGTCTTTTGGTTTTGAATAATAGTAGATTTTAATGAAGTATTTTAAATCTTAGTTGAATAACACCAAATTTTAAAATATAGTAGGCATGATTTACAAATATAAGATCCAATACACTCAATTTTAGAGCATGCTTTAGAATCATTAATTGAATAACAGTGGATTAGTGTTGGACTTACTGTACTGAAATTCATGATTGGATAACACCCCCTTAGTGAATTGTTTTATAAAAAATTTCTAATAAATTTTCAGAAAGAGTAGAGTTGAAATTTGGTGCTCCTGATTAACTTGTGAAGACGAATTGATTCAATACATAAACTATCTATCTCGAAATTCGAATATCATCACTCTTTAACAAACATAAACAGAAAAGATCAAGCCAATTAAAAGTTCAACCACCTAACCTAACAGTCACTAACTTCGAAATACAAAGTTTACACTCTTGTGAATGGAGTTTTTCTGATATCATTGCATATATATGACAGTGATGTGTTGGTTTTATAGTAAACACGTATCTAGGCCGGCCCTGAAATTTTGAGGGCCCAAGCAAATTTTGGGGGAGGTTAAAACAATTTCTTAAATATATATACAAATTATAAAGTTTTGTAAAATTGGGGGCCTCTCTTGCAAAACATTTTCAAATTGGGAACTTGTTTCTTAAATAAAAGTATCTGGAATTTTTGGGGGTTCTAAACCCATGTTTCACCTTGCTGGGCTCAGGGCCGGCCATGCTAACCGAATATGCAAGAGGGAAGATAACGATGCCATGCCATTAACTCTAACATATCTCTAAAGAAAACCCGTCACCCGGGGGATGCTTTTGGCCGCGGAGATCATTTAACACCCAAGTCAAAAGAGACTCATAAAGAAATGTAACAATCGAGCATGTGCATAAGATATTAGGGAAATGTTTTAGATTTAGAGTAATTTAAGTGTTAAGCATGTATACGCTCTCTACAATGTTAGAGAAATATTCTCAGATCATCATGTATTGTTGTGAGGGTACCTTTTTAGAAGAGTCCTCTCAAATGTCATTCTTACATACTATTTATGGATAATGATTAAGTCGATGAAACTTTGCTCACTATTTACCTTGATCTTATAGTAACCAAGACGCTCGCTAAGCTAACTAGAAACATGAACGAAAACGAGCTTTCCTAGCTTCGGCAGCACCTCTGTTTTCCATTTCAATGAAATTCTCATCACCAAATACGTAAGATTTTCTCCGGGACCTGCAAGATCACATGAACCTTTTGTTAAAAACACTAGACACATAACAACAGTGAGACTTTTGAATTCATAACAAAAAGATTTATGTTACCTACAGAAGGAGAGAACCCATCAAATGGGTTTTTCCCTACTTTTGATCGACGAGAAGCTCTTTTGCAGTCTTTAATTTTTGACACATTTCAAGTGATTACAAGTAGGTAAAATCCTAACTTTACCCACTTACAATATAAATGATTGATTAGATAAACAAAAAGTATTAATCTAATCCGTCCAACATAATCAAAAGCCTCTTGAGCTACAACACACCATTAATGAATTTTTCAGTAAGTTCTTTAGGAAGTCCCATGACTGTATCAACTCCTCCCACCACAGAATCGATAAAAGGTGAAATGAGGGGATGCTCAAGCATTAAACCTCCAGCAACCTTGAAAGTTATAGCATCATCAATAAGATCGTCGATGACATGTTCTGGTATCTCATGGAAATAAACCTCTGCTTTGTCCCATCCTCCTCTTCTAACTCCAGTTTTCAAGTTTCTCACAAGAACAGATCCAACAACGCCTCCGTGTGACCCTGAATAGCCTTTGATAAACTCGCGAGCTTCGTCTTTACTGGTTGGTTTTTCTCTGATGACACCTTTGTACACAACAACAGTATCTGCAGTAATCAATAGAGTTGGTTGAGAATCTTGTGCAAACTGACTTTCACCTCCCAATTTCAATATAATCTCATTTGCTTTGGCTTCAGCAATAGCCACAACCAAATCTTCAGGCTTCTCTTTCCTAATAGCTTTCTCATCAATATCTGCAGTCACAATAGTGAAATCATAGCCCATTTCAGCCAAAATCTGCTTTCTCGCCATCGACTGAGAACCAAGAATCAGCTTAAATCCTTTCTCCATCGCCTTCTTTGCCATTCTCGTGATATATGATGTAAACAGAAAGAGTAAAGAAGAAAAATTAACATCCTGACTCTTCAAAATTTTGTATAGCCTACATTATCCAATAACAAGATGTCACATAAAACACCTATTAGATAAATTACAGGCAAAAGCTTCCACTAAAACCACCACACTTGGCTAAAAGCTAAAATGCTAAAGTTTGATACTTGCCACATCTACAGATTTTGATAAGAGTAATCCTAAATTGCTCGTTGATTCCATACGTATTACCAATAAAAGAAACACGTTTCTTCCCGAAGAAGTAAGAATCAACAACGTTATCCTATGACATGTAAGAAAACTCTAAAAATGTAAACTTTCAGACCGATACAAAAGAACAGAACAATTAGAAAAGAAAAAAACAAAACTCCACGAAATTAATCTGTGACGATTCAAAAAAAAAAAGATGCGTCAATGGACACAAATAGACGAAACGACAAGTGAAGTTCTCAATCTCCATTATTATTCATGATGCTAACTATATACCAATGATCCAATAAAAATCGCTGAACCAAAAATCTAAGAATAGAATTAGGGTTTTGAGATTCAGCAGATTGAAACTCACCAGAAGAGATTTCTTAAGAGGTAAACCTACGATTTCGATTGCAAATGAGGGAAGGAAGCGCCAACGAGAGCTGGAGATAGGGAGTGAGAGACTGAAAGAAACCAGATGGCTGTAATTTTGGCAGATTAATTGTCGTGAGCGGCTTTTATTTTCTTTGGGTGCTAAACTCATACTTAAATACTAGATGTTAACCCGCGGTACACCGCGGGCCTATATTTTTATTAAATAAAAATTAAATTTTTTTAAGATGATCAATAGATATATGTTGTTGTTTTGTTTGATTTAAATGTATAGTACATCGCGAAATGATATTTTATAACTAAAAATTTTAAGTTATATTTGTTTTGTTAATTTTATTTGATTGTTAATTCTAGGATTTCACCCGTACTATATTATCCCGTATTAATATCAATCCAAAACCGTCAATTTTAGGATTTCACCCGTAGTATAAAGTTTAAATATTTATAATTTTTAAACTTCTTATAAAAGAATCGAGATGCGTTTTTAAAAAAATATTAAATTTTAAGTTGTATTTGTTTTGTTAATATTGTTTGTTTTGTTTAGTATTTAAGATTGTAGAATAATATTTTGATTGTTAATTTGGAAATTAAACATCATTTTGTTTTTTTAATAATATTTTTATTTAAAAGACATATAATTCGAGTCAATAAGTATATATATATATATATATTATTTAATTTTTTAGAGTTCATCTATATTATTAATATTATAAACTTTTTCTAGAATTTTAATATTATAAATACTTAAAAAGTTTTATAAAGTTTAAATATTTAATAAAACTTTATTATAAAAACAAATAATTAACATGCGGTGTACAACGGGTCAAATATGATGATTTAGTGCTAATATAACAAATTTGAGTTAATTTTTTAAAACCTATTAACCTAAATTAAACATAAATATATCATTTTCCTTTTGACTTTAATTATTATTTGATCTTATATTTAAATTATTTTGTATTCTTATAAAATATATATAGTTAAAAATCGTAATTTTTAAAATTTTATGATTATGTTATTTTGATAAATTATAGGTTATAATCATACACATGTTTTTATTTTCACTTTATCTTAAAATATTTCTCCTTTTTATTTTTGAACAATATTTTATGTTAGTCATAGTTATTATCCAATTAGATTCCATAATTAAATTATCTAACAAATTGACCTTCGTAAGGAATTAAATTAGTCATAATATCTAATTAAACCGGACCAAACCGGTCCTTTTCTCCCTGGCTTGGCCACCGCTTTTTCAACAGAACAATTCGATCTCTTTCTCTATGTCTCACTCTCTCACTCACCGGAGCAAAGTGTTGTCGGTGTGTTCTTCATCGTCTTTGTCTTCTCAAAAGACATGGATTGTTCACGGGATCTTAGCCGGAACAACGATTGCAGCCGCGATTGGCGCAAGTGCGTATCTAGGTTGATCCAAGAAATTCCGGAGCCGGGTCATCGGAATCATTCGCGCACGTAATTAAAAGTGAAGCTCAGTTTGTGACATGTCTCGCGTTGACTGATGATGCCAAACGCCTAAGTTGATGAGAAGAAGAACAAACGTAAATCGAAACAAAACAGATGCATGCGATTAAAGCCTCACTCAAAATTTTGTTCTTTTTCTTCTTATTATGTTCGAAAGTTTTCGTTTTTAATCGAATTGGTCCGTGAGATGCGAGTGAACTGATTTATTTGGTGTTACTGTTGTCGGAATTTGTTTAGGCTTTTAGGCGAGTGGGTATCAGATTTAAATAAGGAGTTCTATGGAAGAGTTCATAAGAGTCTGCAATCCGGGTAATGTGAATTCTTCTTTTTCTAAAAGATTCGAGACTTTGGTTACTTCAACTAATTTGGATTTGAAATCTGTGTCTGATGATTAAAACCAAATTAATTGGAATTTTTTTTCTGATTCTTGATGTGCTTTGGTTTTGGGGTGCAGGAGCTAACATAAGAGTTATATAGAAGAAAGAAGCTCCTTTGAAATGGAGTTTCCGTGGTCTGTTGCCACTGTTTGATCCTCCAAGGCATGAGAGCGTTGAAACCATCGTTGGAGCTCGTGGAGTATCTTATCAGTGAAGAAGTGGTAAAAAACAACAACTCTTGCTAATTAATGTTCACCTACACAAAAATAAGAAATCATTTGCTTCTTCCAAACATATCTGATTATCCTTTTCTTAATATAGAAAACTAACATGTGTTTTCTTTCATAGGTGACACTTAATTTTCAAATCTGAAAGTCGTGGGGTTCATTAAGCAAGACTCATCACCTACACAATCTATGGATAAAAAGGTAAGTAGGAGAAATTTCTTTTCAAATGGTTATAAATATATGCCTCTATGAATGATATTGTGTTGAGAAAGTAAAATAAAGATGCTACCTAGATAGGAATATTAATCGCATAATATGTTTCGTTGTCACATATACCTCTGCAATGATTTGCCTAAAAAAAAAACATGAAATGAGTTGAGCAATTACGCAATAGACTTGTGTTGGTAAAAAAATGCAAGAGCAACTAACAAATCTGAAGTCAACGTACCTTTGTAAGGACGGTGATATAATAGAGTTGGTGATATAACAGAATTGCTTTTCGGAGTTGGTGTTCATAGCTTATTCTAACTTTTTTTTAATGAATCTCACATACATTATTTTTTTTACATAAGCATGAGTCTTTGGTAGCTACAATCAAAAACAAAAAAAAAGTACTTTAGTATAAAATTTACAATGGTTCTAAGTAAATTGATGCAAACTTTCTCATCTGCTTCAGCTCGAATGATTCACCAGATTCTTGAACTCTCCACGCGGTTTTGTAGAGTAGAACATCTCTTTCCGCGAAATGCAAAAGTAGCAGCCATTTGAAGAGAATTAAGGTGTGTTTGCTGATTTTTTTAAGATTGTTGATTTTGAGTGTTTGATGATGTTATGAGACGTCAAGCATAGGAGTATTTATAGGCTCATAAGTTAGGTAAAAATCTCTTGATTGCAAAGCATAAACTGGAATAAAATCTTTGAAATCGTTTTGTATTTTGGAATATGCTATCAATATATATTTTGAGTCATAAATTTGTTTCTAAATAATTGATTTCTTGCAGATTTTGGCGAGAATATACCTCGGATAAGGTATGTGGGAGTAATTAGTTTGGAGATATAAGAAGAAGGAATCTCGGAAAAGGTATGTTTGGAGTATTTAGTTGAAGAAATCTCGGAATACCGATTGTAGAAAGAAAGCGTTGAAACGGTTTTGAGAGATTTATGACAATATTGTTTGTTGAGTATTGTTAGTGATTATGTAGAATTAAAATAATAAATACGTTAATATATTGTAGAGATATTTTAGGGAATAACAGTGGATTGATTTGAGGGAGAAAATCTTTCGAATACAATATGGCTAATTATAAGAAAGTGAAGAGATATAGTCATATTAATTAGGCTAAGATAATGGATTATTGCATATATTCTTATATCCTAAATCTTTTGGTTAAAATTTCCTAACTATAAATGAGATAAGGTATGTGGAGAGTAATTATTTTTGATTGTGCAAATAGTCCTAATCAATTAGATATTAAAAGGATCCGGCGATTAATGTGGCAAATAGTTTAAGGAATATCATTAAACCGAATTGTTAGATTAATTATACTCAAAATATTCTATAGTTTTTATTATAGAATGCTAAGTATCCGGAGATGATTAATATGGAAATAGTATAAGAATAAGTAAATGAATTAAAGACAACATGGCTTCATTTATCAGTTTAAAATTAAGACAACATCCCTAAAATTGCTTATCCAAGATCCGAATAGACTAAAACCGGGTCAAACCCGGATCCAAAAGACTTTATGCAAAAATCCCCTGTAAAAATGTATATGTAGATATGGTGGTAAAAAAATGGAAAAATGTCATTTAAATCATCAGTTTACTATTTTCGTTGGTTTAAAACATAAACTTTAAACCAAGTGATTTAAATCTTTAATTTTATGTTGATTTTCATTTTAATTATAAATTCTCGTTGACAAAGCCATTTGAGGCACATCGTTAACTGGCTAAACGGATCAATAAAAAGATGTCATCGCATAATTGGTACTTCGAATCCATGCATAATTTTTCTTCTACACCAACAGAGTTTCCGTCTTCCTCTTCAAAAAATATGCGATGACATCGTCTGATTGCTCCGTTTAGCCAATTAACGATGTGTCTCAATTGGCTTAGTCAACGAAAATTCGTGATTAAATTAAAAATAAACATAAAATTGAGGATTTAAATCACCAGGTTCAGAGTTCATATTTTAAACCAACGAAAATGGTAAACTAATGATTTAAATGACATTTTCCCCATAAAAAATTGCAATGGAGTTTTCACTCTAAATTAAATTGGTAACATTGCATAATCTTAAAATTCAGAATGAAACTTATAGAATGAAAAATTACAGAATAAAATTATTTTTCAAAAAATATGTAAACTAGATACATTTTACATAATAGAATGTACTATTGAATTATTAATATATACTTATATTTAATAAACAAAATAATGTTTTTGATAAATTTTAAGTAATATTTGATAAGAAAAAAAAAAATATATATATTAAAAATTGTTAAAACGTTGTGAATTTTTTTAAATATTATTCCAAAAATGGTGTAAGTTCATTGTAAACAATTATTTTCTTGCTTTTTTAAATGGCTATTATTTTGTATGGGTAAAATAATAAAAATCTATTATGCAAATAAACAACTATATATCCACTTATTGGCATAATGAGATTTTATTTCTAATTTTATACGAAAAAGCAAATCATGCGTTTTTGCGTTTTCTAATGCGATTATGCATTTTTTTTATTGGCAAACTTTTTGCATAATCACATTTTAGAACGCCATTCTGCCATTATGCGATTACCAATAAGAGCCTAAAAGTGGGTTTGGTCTATGTTTCCGGTTGAATATGGCTTTGGTATCTGGTATGTCCGGCTTAGGGCAAATGACCTATTTTAAATCGAACTTTTTCCATCGTGCATTTTCATATACGAACAAAGGCACCGTACTTATTTTAACCCGAACAAATAAAACATTCAAATAATTTGTATGAACTTCAATAAAATTGCTTGAATCGAAGTTATCCTTCACATAAATTAGTCAACCGTTTACTGTGCTAACTTGGATGGAGACGTGACAACGACGTAGCATCACATTTAAAACAACGTCATTTGATCAAAAATATTTTTAAAAATTTTGTCGCTTGTCAGACGTGAACTCAGGTAGAGAGTGAGGGTTTTACTTTGGTTTGTATTGTTCGATCTGCAGTTAGAAAATATCGATATGGTTTTGATTAGGTCAGTGATAAAAAACCGAACCGATTTGTCCGAACTGAACTGAACTGGAAATTGGGCAAATCGATTCGGTTTTCCTGTATAGGCCTTGTTTATTAGGTTAAGGGGCTTTGTGTAGGTGTGTTTTTGAGATGTGGTTGTGGTTCCACTTTTTGGGATTTTGATTGTAAGAAACTGTTGTAACATTCAATCTTATATTAACTCAGATCAGTTGACAAAAAAAAAAATTTACTAACACCAAATAAATGATCTTTTATTTGAAATATATGGTCGAAAGAAAAATTATAATGTGTAACAATCTACCCCAAAAGCTTTTGTTTTGACTTTGAGTCTTTGAACATTTGAAATTTGAACAGAATAATTCCACAATCAAAACTAAATAATATATTATCAGGCTAGCGAAAGACATGTTTTTGTATCAACTGAGTCAGTCAACAAACCCCGTCTGGACCCGAAGTAACCCAACAAAGTGACAAACGTTGCGACAACTACATTAGCACGATCCACCACCAATAATACAACGTAAGAGGGACGCAGCAAAACTGTCGCGATGTGAGATTCACGCGCTTTAAGCTAAACGTTGACTCTTAGATTCATTTATTAGTTATTATTACTCACTAGTCTCCTCCTTAATTTACTTGAATCTCTAATTCGTTACAAGTTTCCCCTTTAATTACTCTAAGTAATTGCTTTAGGGTTTCGTAATAAATTTAAGGCAACGTAAACTTAAAGGAGTTTGAATAAATTTACTTCAGGAAACAACATAACAACGGGTAATACAAAAAAAAAAACATAAATAATTTAGGGGGTGTTATTCACTCATGGAGTTAAAGTCAATTCTTAAAGGTTTAGATTTGATTTCTGCTATTGTTTTTAACAATCTGTTTGTGTGGAGTTCAAAATCTCTGCAGTATATCCCGGATTATGATTCTAATGATTTACTCATGAAACTCCAAAGATGTTTCATTTCAAATGATTTGATATAGAAAGATTTTACAAGTCTTTTAGTTTTGAATAACACTGGATTTTAATGAAGCATTTTAAATCTTAGTTGAATAACACCAAACTTTAAAATCTATTAGAGTTAGATTTAAAATCATTAGGTTAATAACACTGGATTAGTGTTGGATTTCAATTCTATTAAAATCCATCATTGAATAACACCACCTTATACTGTAAACTTTATGCATCATCACATACTTAACGTAAATAAATGATTTACTGATTTACAAAACTACAAATATCTAAAGTTTTGACTAAAGTAGATATGGTAAAAATTGGGTTTCTTTCTGTGACCAAGAAAAGAAAGGACAATTTAGTATAACATTTATATCAAACCTTAATTGACTAAATAAGAGCTCAGAACAGAACATTTTTTACATTCAACAAAACGTAATTGACTAAAAAAAGAGCTCAAAACAAAACAATTTGTTCATTTATTTAATATTTGAAAGACCAAATAACAGAGAATTAAAACATGGGTCCCACAATAATCCAATCGTCAAATAATCTTCCACCTTTTTGCCACGTAGCACACAAAGTCACGTAAGCCCTTCCCCTACATTAGAGACCAAACTCAAAGACTCTCTCTTCTCCAAACCCAAAACATTGACAAACCGATAGAGAGAGAGAGACTTCTATCGTGCGCACATCTCTCTCTTAACCCTTATCCTGCGCACCACCACCATCACCATCTTCTTCTCCGGCGAAAAAAACACCACCACCATGGGGAAAGGTCGTGCACTTTCCGACGGAGTGATAAAAAAGATCATCCTTTCATACACCTATGTCGCAATCTGGATCTTCCTCAGCTTCACAGTCATCGTCTACAACAAATACATCCTCGACAAGAAGATGTATAATTGGCCATACCCAATAACTCTCACCATGATTCACATGGCTTTTTGCTCTTCCTTAGCTGTGATTCTCATCAAAGTCTTCAAAGTCGTCGAGCCAGTTTCGATGTCACGTGACACTTATCTCAGATCCGTCGTACCAATCGGCGCGTTGTACTCACTCTCTCTCTGGTTATCAAACTCTGCTTACATCTACCTCTCTGTTTCCTTCATTCAAATGCTCAAAGCTCTAATGCCTGTAGCTGTTTACTCAATCGGGGTTTTGTTAAAGAAAGAGACTTTCAAATCTCAGACTATGACTAACATGCTCTCGATCTCGTTTGGAGTTGCTATTGCTGCTTATGGTGAAGCTAAGTTTGATGGTTGGGGTGTTTTTCTTCAGCTTGGTGCTGTTGCTTTTGAAGCTACAAGGTTGGTTTTGATTCAGATCTTGCTTACTTCTAAAGGAATCAATCTAAATCCAATCACTTCTCTCTATTACGTTGCTCCTTGTTGTTTGGTTTTCCTCTCTGTTCCTTGGATCTTTGTGGAGTTCCCAGTTCTTAGAGATACTTCAAGTTTCCATTTCGATTTCGTCATCTTTGGAACCAATTCTGTTTGTGCGTTTGCTTTGAATCTTGCTGTGTTCTTGCTCGTTGGGAAGACCTCTGCTTTGACAATGAATGTGGCCGGTGTGGTTAAAGATTGGCTCTTGATTGCATTCTCGTGGTCGGTGATTAAGGACACGGTCACACCGATCAATCTGTTTGGGTATGGACTTGCCTTTTGGGTGTTGGATATTACAATCACTGCAAGTTGCAGGCGTTGAAGGCTAAAGATGCACAGAAGAAGGTTCAGGCAAGTGATGAGGAAGCTGGGAAGCTTTTGGGAGAGAGGGAAAGTGAAGCTAAACGAAACGAAACACAAGATTGATCTGATTCTGATTCTGGTTCAAGAATGCAATTTCAAGGAACAAGAGCTTCAAGGGTAAGAATGATTTTGGATTTTGCATTGTCGGTGTTCGTCTACGTTTTCTTTTTGCGATTATATTTTTTAAGTTATGGCTGATTAAATTACATAGTGGTTGATGGGTGTTTAGAGTTTCTTGAATCTTTTGAACTCCATTGTATCTTCTTCTTTTGAGTTATCTTATGTTTATTTCTTCCTCCTTATGAATCTCTATCTATGTGGGTAACAATTGTTGTAGTAGTAACTTCTATATATTTTGCCCATTGAGAGTTGTTAAATGTCAAATTGAAATTCCCTTCTTTTCTCTTTCTATATAAAACCGTTCTATTTTGGAAGTCAGATTGTCAGAAGATGGACATCACCAAAAACTTTTCGATATTTTATGGGTTATGTTGGATCATTTGGAAGCAAGATCCACAATTTCAGGCACTATATAGTAAATACCCACACCGACGTTACAATAATATGTTACGCCATCATATGAATACAGTGGTCTCATTTAACCTCTCCAAAGATCCTTCTTACTTTAGAGAGGCAAAATAGGTGTTACATACCAAACGAATAATGTGATCTTTTTTTTTTATCTCAACAAGCTCATGTCTTAGGTAAAAGGGACAGGCAAAATAGGTGTTACATACCAGAGGAACAACTCACGGATTAGGGATTTCTCAGCAACGAATATCTGGGAACTTCAACACATTTGGTTCTAGTTTGACATAAAGCTGTTTTGTTCCAGATAGAATTCCTAAGCATGCATTGGTTTGTTTCTTTGTGACTCTGAAGACTGAACAGCGGTTCTGACTCTAGGCAGATTTTTGTATAGGAGAATTGCATCACGCTGGTCGCTGGTTCTGCCGTCTGCGACTCTGCTCCGGTAATACAAGTCAACATTTTTCAAAAAATTTGTTTTATCAATAAGATGCACTGGCCATTTTCTTACCCTTTGCACATAGATGGAGTCGAGGAGTCTACAACTAAAATTTTCCGACTATATTGTTTTTCTTTGGTTATATCCGATCAGGTTTCAGAACTAACAAACCAATTTTATTTAAATTTCAACTAGAATCTTAAATTTGCTCATGTAGTGTACTAGTTAGTTGCCTTGCCATTCAAAATGAGAAAGTTTACAAAATCACGAGTTTGAAAATTCAAAAAGTTTATTTTCCTAAAATACATATTAGACTGAAATCAAAATTTATTAGTCCAATTAGACTGCACCAAACGCCTCACCAAAAAAATAATGAGACTGCACCAAACGAAATATATGTTCACGGACCGGACCACATCGGGTTTGGCAGATTTGGCATCCTAGTTGTTTCGACATCTACCAAACCCACTAAATAAATCTACACGGACACTAAAAAGCCAAATCAGCATCCAACAAACGGTCCATATTCCACCACGTGGCTCTCATATGGTTCGTCACGTCGACACCTATTAATACCGTTCTAATTCTTCTCCTCCGTTTCGGGAACAGTAGCTAAACCGTGATCGGAAAGCTAGTTTCAGAGAAGAAGAAACCAAAATCGGAGTCTAAAAACAAATTATGCCTAATGTTTCTCAGATCTCTACTGTTCTACGTCTAGGGTTTTCTTCTAAAAGAAGACTCTCCAATGGCTTCCACTTCGTTTCTCGTTCTTATTCCACCTCTGATCCTCCCAAACCATCAGGTACTTTCATAATCTGCAATTCGTTGAGAATTATGCAATTGACACTAATGTCGCTTCTTATCAGGTCCACTGACGAGTTACAGTAAGTTAGTGGAGCAAGGGAGGTTACAGCATGATCCATACCAAGAGAAAGTTGTTTCAGCATTTGAAAATTTGTTTGGAAGATTGGAACATTTCGAGAAGGAAATGGAAGATTATCATGTAAAAATTAGGCTCAATTGGAAATAGTGTAACATTTTGGTTCAATTGTTTGCATTTATGTGTAACATTTTGTTATCAGGTGATATTAGCAGAGTGGGAGAAGAAGAGAGAGGAGGAGCGGAGAAAGCTAATGGTGGAAGAAGCTGAGAAGAAGGAAGAAGATGGAATGTGGGCATCTATGAATAAACATGGGCAAAAGCTTTTGGGAAGATGGGTATTAGGGTGAGGTTTTGGTCATTGGTTTCTTCTTTAGTTGAATTTGTTTTTCAAATGGGTGTTTTTTTTTTGCTGTGTTTTAGGCGGAGACAGATGAATGTAGAACCTGGAGTTGGTAAATGGGTATCGTATCTTAACCGAGAGAGAAAATTGGACTCAATTGTCGGTTCTCGTCCTGCGGTACCACCAGCTCCAAAAGGATTGTATATCTATGGAAATGTAGGATGTGGTATGTTAATGGATGGTGCATTATGGACTTATCGTATAGCTAATAAGGTTAGGTATTTATGAATATGTTTGGTGTTTTTCATGTAGGCAAGACTATGTTAATGGATATGTTTTATGGTGCTACTGATGGGATCATTAGACATAGACAACGGTTTCACTTTCATGAGGTGTGTGAGCCTTTAGAGGTTCTTCTTTTATTTGTGTGTAAAGAACTTTATTCAAACTCTGACATTTTCCATTTCTTTCTTTGTAGGCTATGCTGAAGATAAATGAACAAATGCACAAGTATTGGAAGGAGAATGGTGCCGAAAAGTCATCACAATATAGCATTTCGAGCTGGATTATGAATCTTCCTGTTGATGAAAAAGTTAAGGAATGGCTAGCTGGAGAAGAATTTTATAAGCAGCAACTCCAAATGAAACACATTCTTCCAGCTGTGGCTGACAAGTTTCTCGTTGATCAGCAATCGAGTAAAAAAGGAGCCAGCATCCTCTGCTTTGATGAAATTCAGGTAACTAAATACATGAATCTATAAAAAAAGCTACATTATCGAATTCATTCTTCTAAGAATAGATTGTTGACTATGAGAAAGTAATCAAGTGTTAACAACTAGGCTTGCTAACTGCTTATTCCTCAAAAGTCATAAGGACAATATAGTGTCAACAAGGGCTTAGATGAGACTGAGCTTGCTAACTTTTGGCCTCGGATGAAATTGCAAATAGTGTTCATTCTTCCCATAACTTGGACTTTCTTGCATCTTCTGTTACAGACAGTTGATGTATTTGCTATTGTGGCCTTATCTGGAATTATGAGCAGATTGTTGGCTACTGGAACTGTTCTTGTGGCCACCAGTAACCGAGCACCACGGGAGTTGAATCAGGTTCCTTTTCCCTTCTCCTTAAGCTCTCTTATGTTTTCAGCAAAAAGGTCTCTTTAACTAATTTCATGAAGGACATGTACAGTAAAACCTCTATAAATTAATAATGTTGGGACCAGAAAATTTTATTAATTTAGGGAGGTATTAATTTATCGATAAATTAATAATTATTAATTTATAGAGAGATTTTACTAATTTTGTAATTTCTTTAAAAAAATTTCTATCTAAATATAAATGTTTTTCTTATAAATATCTTTTAAAAACTAATTACAAGTAGAGAAACAATTATTAAGTTTAAAAAACAACACAAACTTTTTTCGAATAATAGAGTCATATTTCATCAAAATTTTTATATATAATATTTTAAATATATATATCATAGTAATTCATATATAACATATATAAATTTATATAATATATATATATTGATAAGTTAATACAATTATTAATTTATAGTATAAATGGGACCATATGTTTACATTAGATTTTCGAAAAAATTATTATCTTATTAATTTATCGATTTATGTTATATTTTACACTGGTCCCAACTCGGGACCGAAAGAATTTATTAATTTAGAGAGGTTATTAATTTATAGAGTATTAATTTATAGAGGTTTTACTGTATCTTGATTACACAGAGTCTTTGCGTTGAGTCACTAATTTTCTCGCTTATGTTGTTGGTACAGGACGGAATGCAGAAGGAGATATTTGACAAGTTTATTTCTAAATTGGAGAAACATTGTGAGATAATCTCAATTGGAAGTGAAGTAGATTACCGCCGAGTTGCAGCCCAAAACTCAGTTGAAAATGTGTGAATCACAGACTCTTTGCATTGTTTATTTGTTGGGTACTTTGCTTCTGTTTGATGAATTTTTAAATTTTCATTTATAGGTTCACTACTTATGGCCTTTAAATAATGCTGTTCTGGAAGAGTTCGAGAAAATGTGGCGTCAGATCACTGACCAGTACGGTGGAGAAATAACCTCTGCGACTCTCCCAGTGATGTTTGGAAGGTAGAAATGAGAGCAACAGTGTTTCTTTTTGTTATGGATCAAATTAAATCACAGTGGTTTCTCTTTTTGTTTGTGATCAAACTAAACCACAAAGGTGTTTTTGCGTGTGTATCATCAGAACAGTGGAGGTTCCTCAAAGCTGTAATGGAGTGGCAAGATTCACATTCGAGTATCTTTGTGGTCGTCCTGTAGGTGCAGCAGATTATATCGCAGTGGCCAAAAACTATCATACAATCTTTATATCTGATATTCCAGCAATGAGCATGGAAATACGTGACAAGGTATAAACCAAAATCAAGATTTATGGCTGTTGAGGTTTGTCGATTCCTTTCTCTAAGGGCTTTTGATGTTATCAGGCACGTAGGTTTATAACCCTTGTAGATGAGCTATACAACCACCATTGTTGTCTTGTCTCAAGCGCGGAGACACCTATCGATGAGTTGTTTCAAGGAACTGCAGAGGGAACACTCTTTGACCTGGAAAGGTAACAACACACAATTGACGAGTGGACAATCTGGTTTACGGTTTTTTGGTTTTCCCCGCTTTATTGAAACTAAAATAAAATGAAAGCCTTTCTTTTGATTCGTTTTTTTTTTTTGGTTTGGATTTGGTTAGTTTTAGAGTCATTTCGATTTGGTAATGGCTAAATCATTTCGATTTTGTTTCGGCTTAATCGTTTGATTCATTTTGATTTATTGGAAACTTGCAGCTTCCAGTTTGAGACAGAGACGGAAGATTCAAGATTAAGGCGAGATGTGCTTGCAGAAGGTAGCATAAGTGCAGCTGGATCGCCTTCTTCGATTGTATCAATGCTTTCTGGCGAAGAGGAGATGTTTGCATTTGCTCGGGCTGTAAGTCGTTTCTCACTTCCTAATATTCCTTTCATCCAAAATTGTGGTTTAGAGTATTTGGTAATTATGTTAAACGGTGCAGGCGTCGCGGTTGATTGAAATGCAGACTCCGTTGTATCTTGAAGGAGTTCGTTTCTTGCATCCTTATTTCCATCAGCAAAAGTAATTCAAAAATAATAACAAATGAATAATTGACTTATAGTGCGCCATTATTTTTTCCCTTGTGATTATTGTTTAGCAGAAATGACCAACCAAAGGTTTGGTCTTTTACCTAAATTACCTTTATACTAAGGCGAATCATGAATAAAAATGTTATTTTGCTTTTGATGTTCTATCACAAAAACGTCTGCACTGTGAGTAACTTTCTTAGTTTTCTGAAGTTTAGACTTTAGACTAATCAATCTTTCAAGTAGATTGGGGTAAACACCAAAATCAACCCGAACAATTTCCATAATGCCTTTTGATATCCAACAATCGGTAGCACATGAATTTATGAACCTGAAACAACCAACAATTAAATTAAACACCTGGTTGTTTTTTGGTTGTTATATATGAGCAAAACAACGTCGTTGGTTAGTGTTAGGGATAGGGTCGCAAGGGGTCGAAGAGAGTATTCCACGAAAACAACTTGGGGTTAAGTAATCGAAGAAATCCTAAGTTGTTAATGTATTTATCAAAAAGAAAAATTCCCAAGTTGTTAAAATGTATCGAAAACAACTTAGGATTCATGAATAAAAATGTTATTTCCCTTAAGATGTGTGATAAAGGCACGTGACTATTATATGCACCTACCAACGAGAGTACCATTGGTCAGATATTTCGGTTGCCTGTGATGTGACGCATGCATTTGTTATCATTCCGTTGGAATGAACTAATTGCGTAGTGGAAAATAGTAATAAGGGTTAGGATTAGATAGGTAGATGTTGATAGAAAAAGTGAAAATTGTTTAGATCAGATTTTTGATATCTCCAGGATTACTGAACTTGTACCAACGTACCGTTGTACGTTATCATGGAATGTTGGTTACGTGAGACTATCGACAAACATAAGATAAGTATAAGTGATGCGACCAGCAGCAGCAGCAGATAGGGAAATGTCTGGTGAAAGATATTTGAAATGTCCGCCTACAAGAAAACATATGCTTTTCCTACAAAATTTTCTACCAAATATTTGGTAGGAATAGTTTCCTACCAAATTTCTACGCATTTGTTACAGAATATATATTTCGTAGGAAGTTCGAATGAAATTTCATACGACAAAAGTCGTAAGAAGGTCGTAGGAAATTTCCTACGAACATTCTACGAAACAAATGTTGTAGGAAATTTTGTAAGAAAGTGAAAGAAAAGCTATAGGAAAAAATTGGTAGGAAATTCGAAGGTATATTTCTTTCCAATTTCGTAGGAAATCATGTAGGAAATGCGAAAAAAGTTATGGAAAAATAATTGTATGGAGTTTAATTTTAAATTTAATTTTTTCAAAAAACCAAAATTTACAACAAATAAATATATATATATATTTTATTAAAATTGTCTCTGAACTTTCAAAGGATAATGGTAGGAATTTGGTAGGAGGCGTATCGTAGGAAACTGGTAAGATAATTTTGGTAGGTAATTGGTGAGAAATATTTCGTAGAAAAATTGAAGGACTCAATTTTCTTCGAAAATTTGGAAGGATAATGGTGAAAATGCCCTACCAATTTCCTACAAATTTTCCTACGCGATTTCCTACGAACAAGTTTCGTAGGAAAGTTCCAACGAATTTCCTACCAAATTATATTTTCTACGGGCGATTCCTACCAATCTCCTACGATGTTGGCCGTAGGAAAACGCTGCATTTCTTGTAGTGCATGATCCGGATTTTTTTCACGTATGGACTCAAAAAATTTCATGACCCTAAATTTTACCAAATTTCTATATTTTACTTTATTGAAAATTAATTTGTTAATTCAAGCTAACAATTTTGTGTAGTCAATTTCATGCTTATATAAGTTATATTCATTTAACATTTTAGTGAAAACACAAGATAAATTTTTGTACTAACATAAACCGTTCTTTAGATCAAGATTTGAAGTATAACATTTTAGAGTTACAATGTTCATATATATGTGTGTATCTATCATGTGTCTTTTCTTATCGAATCTTTTCCTCAAGCAGTAATGAAATTGTTTAGTGAGATCGAAAAAGGAAAATAATAATATAAATATACATTAATAGTTTAGTATTTGCTAAAAAGTAGAAAAAATGATTGTCTTAATTTTAAAGTTAAGCAAATCAACGACAAGAAACAAAAAAAGTTAAGTAAATCAAACACAAAAACAAATAACTTGTTGAGGAAAAAAAAGAAGCTAATAACTTGAATAGTAAAAACCACAAATAATTGACTTTTCTAATCCCTCATTTTACTTTTTTACCATTTGTAGTCCTGTATTTTTGTTGACATCACTATTTGCATCCTATATATCTATTAGAAATAAACAAAAACATTCATACTGTTGTAAACTAGCGAGGTAACGACTTCGAATTATAAGAGTGAATAGAGGAAAAGAGAGAGTAAAGAGAAGAGAGCAACTTTAGATTTCTTATACTTATGTTTTTCTCATATCTTCATTTCTCTTCTACAACAAGGGTCTATTTATAGGGATAGCACCCTTACATGCACGCGAACAAGTGGCGAGTCGCTCTCGACAAATGGCGCACCACACGACACATTGCAAACGTACTTCGACACATGTTGCGATGGAGACGACACTTGTTGCGACTCGGATGACAAGTGTGGAGGGGTTCAACAAGTGGAGAAAGTGTAGAGACAAGTGTTACACATGCATGAGGGATTAGTGTCCATTTTGTAGACAAGTGTTGATGGAGAATCACACTTGGTTCACAACACTCCCCCTTGAGTCTCCATCACCATTGACGAGTTACGTACTGCCTCGTTAAAAACCTTATCATGGAAAAACCCATTGGGATAAAAACCATGACAAGGGAAAAAGAGTACAGTGACGTGAACTCCCCCTCAAAAAGACTTCATAGGTCTCGAAGATGACGCATTCCAATATTTTGAACATGCTTTCTAAATGTGGAAGTTGGAAGCGCCTTTGTGAATAGATCTGCTGCATTGTCGCTTGAACGAATGTATTGAACGTCAACTTCCTTGTTCTTCTCGAGTTGTTGAGTGTAGGAGAAGAATCTTGGGGGGGATATGCTTAATTCTGTCGCTCTTGATATAGCCTTCTTTGATTTGAGCAACACATGCAGCATTATCTTCGTATAATCTTGTTGGCTCTCTTTTGATGACTAATCCACTTGCTTCTTGAATATGGTTAGTCATAGATCTAAGCCATACACATTCTCTACACGCCTCATGAAGAGCAATGATCTCTGCGTGATTTGATGAAGTTGCGACTAATGTCTGCTTTTGAGAACGCCATGAAATTGCAGTTCCTCCAATGGTAAAAACATATCCGGTTTGTGACCTAGATTTGTGAGGATCCGATAGATATCCTGCATCTGCAAAACCAACTAGACCGAACTCGGAGTTTCTCGGATAATATAATCCTAAATCAATCGTACCTTGAAGATAACGGAAGATGTGCTTTATCCCATTCCAATGCCTTCGAGTAGGGGATGAATTGTACCTTGCAAGTAAATTAGTAGCAAAAGCAATATCTGGCCTAGTGCAATTTGCAAGATACATAAGTCCACCGATAGCACTCATATAAGGTACTTCGGGACCAAGAAATTCTTCGTTATCCTCACAAGGTCTAAATGGATCATTTTCAACATTTAAAGATCTATTGACCATTGGAGTACTTGAAGGATTCGTTTTATCCATATTAAAGCGCTTTAAAATCCTTTTTGTATAATTGGATTGATGCACAAATATACCTTCTTGGAAATGCTCAATTTGGAGCCCGAGACAAAATTTTGTCTTTCCAAGGTCTTTCATTTCGAACTCTTCTTTCATGTGAGTTCGTGCATCATCAATCTCCTTTAGAGTTCCAATTATATTTAGGTCATCAACATATACAGCAATGATCACAAATCCCGAAGGAGATTTTTTAATGAAGACGCAAGGGCAGATTTCATTATTCACATACCCTTTCTTTAGTAGATAATCGCTTAAACGATTATACCACATGCGTCCGGATTGTTTCAATCCGTAAAGTGATCGCTGTAGTTTGACCGCATATATTTCTTTAGACTTTGATGAGTCTAATGCCTCGGGAACTTTTAATCCTTCCGGGTTTTTTATATATAAATCATTATCAAGAGATCCATATAAATAAGCGGTCACTACATCCATAAGGTACATATCTAAATTATTTGATGCCGAAAGGCTCATTAAGTACCTGAATGTAATTACATCTATGACTGGAGAATATGTTTCTTCATAATCAACTCCAGGTCTTTGAGAGAAACCTTGTGCTACAAGTCGGGCTTTATATCGTGTAATCTCATCATTTTCATTTCTTTTTCGTACGAATACCCACTTGTACCCAACAGGTTTTATACTCTCAGATGCAGTGACAATAGGTCCAAAGACATTTCTTTTATTAAGGGAGTGCAACTCAACTTGCATGGCAGTTTTCCATTTCTCCCAATCCGGCCTTTTCTGGCACTCTGACACTGTCTTTGGATCCGGATCATCATTTTCATGATCGATCTCTTTAGATAAAGAAAAGGAGAATATTCCATTTTCATCTTCAATATCATTTCTATCCCATATGATTCCATCATGGGCATAATTAATGGAAATCTCATACTTTTCTATATTGCCCGAGGACTTGGTTATTCTTGAAGAACTTTTTCATTTTCTTCTCCCATTTTCTTTCTTTTTCGGGGATTTTTATCTTTTGAGCCCATAGGCCTTCCACGCTTTAACTGAACTTTAGGTTCATTAATTTTGCTCCCATCTAATTCCAGCTCTCTAGGAATTTCTACTCTTGATGGGGCATTTGCAGCGGGAATATATGACTTTGTCACCTTTCTGGTATCAGTGAACGAATCTGGTAATTGATTTGCCATATTTTGTAAATGTACAATTTTTTGTACTTCCAGCTCACGTTGCTTCGTGGGGGGGGGGGGATCAAGATATATTAAAGATGGTGCGCACCATACTATATCTTTATGCATATGCATTTGACGAATTCCTTCCCCTAATGCTGGGAATTCATCTTCATTAAAATGGCAATCGGCAAAACGTGCCGTAAACATATCACCAGTTTGTGGTTCAAGATACCTTATTATACTCGGTGATACATAGCCGACGTATATTCCCAATCTCCTTTGGGGCCCCATTTTTGTTCTTTGTGGCGGAGCTATAGGCACATATACCGCACATCCAAATATGCGGAGATGGGATAAATTTGGTACTTGACCATAAGTCATTTGTAAAGGGGAATATTCATTATCTGCGCTTGGTCTAATCTGAACCAAAGCTGCAGCATGCAATATAGCATGACCCCATATAGAAATTGAGAGTTTTGTTCTCAATATTAACGGTCTAGCAATGAGTTGCAGCCGTTTAATCAAAGACTCAGCCATGCCATTTTGTGTATGAACATGAGGGACCGGATGCTCTACATCGATTCCCATTGATACACAATAGTCATTAAAGGCTTGTGAAGTAAATTCCCCAGCATTATCAAGCCTGACTTTCTTTATGGCATAATCAGGAAATTGTGCATTTAACCTGATTATTTGGGCAATGAATCTTGCGAAAGCCGTGTTTCGTGTAGTCAAAAGACATACATGTGACCATCTAGTAGATGCGTCAATCAATACCATAAAATATCGAAACGGCCCGCACGAAGGGTGGATTGGTCCACATATATCACCATGAATTCTCGACAAGAATTCAGGTCTTTCATGCCCAATTTTGGCTGGTGATGGCCTTATTATGAGTTTTCCTTGAGAACATGCATTACATGACAACTCACCAGATTTAAATATTTTCTGGTTTTTCAATGGATGGCCATTAGAATTTTGCACAATCTTTCGCATCATGACTGAACCAGGATGTCCAAGTCTTTCATGCCATATCTTAAATGTACTAGTAAAGGTTACTGTAACATTTGATGTGATTGTATTTATTTTTGTGCAATATAATCCGGAGGATAGCATTGGCAATTCTTCTAAAATATTTTGCCTCTCGGATTTGATGCAAAGATATTCAATGCCATATTTATTCATAGTCTCTATATGGTATCCATTACTTCGGATATCCCTGAAACTAATCAAGTTTCTATGAGACTTAGGGGAATATAATGCATCATTTACTTTAAAATGAGTTCCCTTGGCATTGTAAAATTAGCTTCGCCAAAGCCCATTATAATCTTTGCATGGCCATATATAGTATTCACGCTTCCAGCGGAATCTTTTATTTCGAGAGAGGAGAAGTACTTTTTATCTTTAAATATTGTGTGCGTAGAAGCACTGTCCGCCAGACATATATCTTCATCCTCAATCTCGTATTTTGACATTTTCTGGAATAAAATATTTATTCATTAAACTTTGACATAGACTATTCATATGTCATAATGTATTACAAAAATAACATTATCCCAGAAAACATAAGCATCTATAATGCTTGTCATGTCATAGCATGATCATACATATGGCAATAATATATTACATTAAATTTCCCGTTGCTATGATCAATCGAGGAAATCTGCCATATCAAGATGAGTATCATCATCTTTGCCTTTGAAGGAAGGTCCCGGCTCATCACAGATGAGATTAGTTTAAACATCCCTTTCTTTCGCTTTTTGCGAAGCTTGATACAGATCGGCTAAATGTTTTGGTATACGACACGTCTGGTACCAGTGTCCTTTCATACCGCATCTGTGGCAAGTGCTTTCAACATGCCTTTTCTTAACACGGCCAACATCATTTACTTCAAGATTTTTGTTGGTTTTTCCCGTGTTGAAATCATTGGGATGAGAACTTCTTCCTTTTCCTCGGCCACGACCACGACCTCTTCCACGACCACGACCACGGCCTCGCCAAGATCCGTGTCCTCGCCAATTATTGTCACCGGATGTAGCAACATTCACTTCTAAAAGTGGAGCTGATCCAGGTGGGCGAGATAAATGATTCATCATCACGAGTTCATTATTTTGTTCAGCTACCAAAAGGACTTGCATCAACTCGGAATATCGAGTGTATCCTTTGGCCCGGTACTGCTCTTGAAGGATTACATTTCCAGGATGAAAGGTGGAGAGCGTTTTTTTCAATCATATCATAATCGCTCACATTTTCACCACATAATATCATCCTAGAGGTGATTCCGAACATGGCGGAATTATAATCACCAACACTTTTGTAATCCAAGAACCGGAGATTTAGCCATTCATGTCTGGCTTTTGGCAAAATCACATATTTTTGATGATCGAAACGATCTTTGAGTGATTGCCATAGATCCACAAGATCTTCTCTCGTGATGTAATCATTTTTCAAATTGTCGTGGAGATGGTGGCGTAGAAATACCATGGCTTTAGCTTTATTTTCATCTGATGTCGTTTCAGATGCATCGATGGTGCTAAGAAGCCCATTTGATCTCAGATGCATCTTTACATCTGATGCCCATGTCATGTAATTTTTGCCAGATATATCAAGGGCAACGACATCGAGCTTAGCCAGGTTTGACATGATTATCTATATGAATAATCATTTCATTAATAAAATATTTATGGCATTTTGAGGAGGCAGAGCCTACCATTCAAATAAGGAGGAGGCATAGCCTACCATTCCGAAAAATAATATGCATATAATATCATATAAATAAATATTTATAGTATTTCGAGGAGGCATAGCCTACCATTCGATTAAGGAGGAGGCAGAGCCTACCATTCCGAAAATAATATACACAGAATTTCATATAAATGAATTTAAAATAATTCAAATGTTACCTCGAAAAGGTGATTGAACGAAGAGACGATCGATCGGTTAGACAATCACACGGGGAGACGATCGGATGGTATATGATTAGACGGAGAGACGATCGTGCTGATAACGTGTTGTGAACTAGCGAGGTAACGACTTCGAATTATAAGAGTGAATAGAGGAAAAGAGAGAGTAAAGAGAAGAGAGCAACTTTAGATTTCTTATACTTATGTTTTTCTCATATCTTCATTTCTCTTCTACAACAAGGGTCTATTTATAGGGATAGCACCCTTACATGCACGCGAACAAGTGGCGAGTCGTTCTCGACAAATGGCGCACCACACGACACATTGCAAACGTACTCCGACATATGTTGCGATGGAGACGACACTTGTTGCGACTCGGATGACAAGTGTGGAGGGGTTCAACAAGTGGAGAAAGTGTAGAGACAAGTGTTACACATGCTTGAGGGATTAGTGTCCATTTTATAGACAAGTGTTGATGGAGAATCACACTTGGTTCACAACACATACTTCATAGTCATACTGGCACTGTTTGACTAATTTTGACGAATCTTCCGTCTGATAAAATAAAATATAGGATAAAGCTATAGAAAAAAGAAAAAAAAAAACACCTAAAACAATATCATAGAAATTAAATATAATAATACCTAACCGCCTAGCAGCCTCCGCCCCCAACCACTCACCCATTCAAAAGGCCAAAGCTGCTGCAACCAGCAGCGGTAGTAAAACCCTAACGAGCTCGTCAAATTCTCGACTCTACCCAAACACTCTCGTCGTCGTCACTCGATTTCCGTCTTACCCTAAAATCTTCACTTTCTTACCCTTCACGAAGATGTGGAGGTCGTGAATCGTGATCACTTGTACCGCTTCTTGGGAACGAAGACTGTCATTTCTAATCACTCCAGAAGCTTCATACGAGAAACTGTATTCATGGGCAAGACTGGAATCCAATTGTTCGACGATACAAGGAATGGGTTTTTCTCTGTATCCGATTTGGGATCCGATTGGAGCAGTTTACAGAACCCAAACTACCGTCCAGTTGGTGGATTGTTCGCGAGTGTTAATCAATTAGGAACTGGATTCGGGTCAGGACTTGGGTCCGGATCTATTTCGTCTCCGGATCCTCCCAACAGAGATAACAACAGTAGCTTTACTGCTCAGGTTAATGATCTGTGCACAAAGTATTTACCTTTTAAAGATGAGGAGGAGGAAGAAGAAGTGATTGGTGAGAAGCGGAAGAAGAAGAAGAAAGGAGGGTTGAAACTGAAGCTTAAGATTTCTAATCCTTCGTTGCGGCGGCTATTAAGTGGAGCTGTGGCTGGAGCAATTTCGAGAACGGCGGTGGCTCCTTTGGAAACTATTAGGACTCATTTAATGGTGGGAAGTGGTGGCGACTCCACCACTGAAGTCTTTCGTGATATCATGAAGCAAGAAGGATGGAAAGGTCTCTTTAGGGGCAATTTGGTTAATGTGATTCGTGTAGCACCCGCTCGTGCCGTTGAGGTACCAATAGATTCAAAACTTGATGTAGAATAGGTTTGGAATTTTAGATGATTGGTGAATTGGTTTGGCTCGACAGTTTTGTGTTGTATTTGTTAGTGTGTGAAGCTCAAGCTCTAGTTTGAGGATTAAGCAATATCTAAGGATTCGTTTTAGATGGTCTTCCAAATGCTAATGATGTATGTAACCATTTGTGCGGAATTTTAACTTCTCTTTCAACTCTGTTCAGCTTTTTGTATTCGAGACAGTTAACAAGAACTTGACTCCAAAGCTCGGAGAACAGTCAAAAATTCCCATCCCAGCTTCATTGCTCGCGGGTGCCTGTGCTGGGGTTAGCCAGACCCTCTTGACATACCCCCTTGAACTAGTCAAGACCCGCCTTACAATTCAGGTATGCCCTATAAAGTATCCAGAGTTTTTTTTTCCGTAAAATGGTATTTAGGAGTGATTTGGAGTCAACATGAGGAATAATTTGGCAAAATGTAATTTAATCCTGCTGTGGAAAGGAATTTGAGAGCTTTAAAACATTTAAGAACATATGGTATATTGTAAGGGCGGGTAGAGTTTAGAGTTTGGCCACTGATGTGTCTTTGAAATTACTTTTCAGAGAGGTGTATACAAGGGAATAGTGGATGCTTTTGTCAAAATAATAAGGGAGGAAGGACCAACTGAACTTTACTAGGGGTCTTGCCCCGAGCCTTATAGGAGTGGTTCCATATGCAGCAACAAACTACTTCGCCTATGACTCCTTAAGAAAAGCTTACCGTAAGCTGGTGAAGCAAGAAAGCATTGGGAATATTGAGACTCTTTTGATAGGTTCTTTAGCTGGTGCGTTATCAAGTACCGCAACTTTCCCCTTGGAGGTTGCTCGGAAGCATATGCAGGTGGGAGCAGTCGGTGGGAGGGTGGTTTACAAGAACATGTTGCATGCTTTGATCCGCATACTCGAGCAAGAAGGTGTTGCAGGTTGGTATAGAGGGCTTGGACCGAGTTGCTTGAAATTGGTTCCTGCAGCTGGATCTCCTTCATGTGTTACGAGGCATGCAAGAAGATACTCGTTGAGAACAACAACGAGGAAGCCTGAGCTCTATCGTTACAACTCACATGAGTACTTTTGGCTTTGGTCAGACTAACACGATGGCTCTGGTGAACCAAATTAGGTCATGGTTGATGATTCTGCAAGCATATGAGAATAGCGTTGTGCCAATTGAGACTTCACATTCACACAATTCAGAAGATTCGAGTTTAAAAATTTTGGGCGGGCACATTATTGATTCATTTGGAACTTAACATCCAAAAGATTCATTTTTTTTTTTTGCTTTGGTTCTTGTTTCGTGTTCCGGATCTGTCATAGTTTTATTTTAATTCTTTTTCTTGGCTCAAATAAGTTTAAATTACAGTGTCTAGAATTTAGACCCGTAAAGAACCAGGACTTTTTCAGAAAAAAGAAGATTAAAGACGTATTATATACATTAATACATTAGAAAGGTATCCATAGAACATTTGAGTTTTTTTTTATAGTAACAGTTCCCACTACGAAACATTATATAACCAACACATAATCACAAGACCTATGGCTTCTTAGATTAATGGGGTTTCCTATTATATAACACAAATTTATATAGGGCTGAAGCATGAAAGTGGGCAGCTCACTGTACCCATGAAACTGTTGCTCATAACTCCAGTGGTGGAAACAAAGGGGTTGATTCGGACCCAAAGTAATGAGAAGATAGATGCAAGAAGCGCAGACCAGACAATGACAATGGTCGGAGTCCGGTTCTGTCTTCCCAAAAGACCTTCAAGAAAGGGTAAAGATGAGCAACAACCCAAAGAGCAAAAAAGAGCTTTCCCATGAGAGGTCCCCACGATTGGTAGCCACTGTTTATTGCATACGAGACCCCAGGCCACAATACCGACAAGGTTGACCAATAAGATAGTGGTTGGTGGGATGAGAAGAGACGTCCATTTGAAGACGTAAAGCTCTGCAAAGTCTCCATCTTCATCAGAGGCCTTCGATGTGACCGTGAAGTTTGTGTCAATCCCTGCAAAAACTTTGAGTAGACCTTGAAATACTGCAAAAAGATGAGCCGAGGTTCCACCGATTACCCAAAACTGCTAGTTCCTCCACCATTCTTCAAGGGCCACATCACTCCATCTGAGCTCCAAGATTGCCGATGCGTAGATGGATGCAAATAGCAGTATGAAACACAAGGTCGCAGAGTTGCTTATCTGAAAATTATAAGAAAATGCAATTTCAAAAAGGTAAATTGCAGTAAAAGGATGAAAACCAGAACATTACCTCTGGTATGATGAACTTGTTGGTGATGAGGCAAAAAGCTGGAAGCATACAATAGGCGAGGAGCGGGATGGATGTAATTGGATAGACTATGGTATTGATGTAGGCAATTCTCTCCAACAGTTTCAACCTTCCATTATAGCCGTACCATATAGGGCAATGTCTGCTCAGAAGAATCTCGATAGATCCCAAAGCCCATCGAAGAACTTGGTTCAAGCGATCAGAGAGATTAATGGGTGCAGATCCCTTGAACGCAGGGCGTGGAGGCACGCAGTAGATTGATATCCAACCCCTTGCATGCATCTTGAATCCAGTAAGAATATCTTCTGTCACAGAACCGTAGATCCACCCGATCTAAAAGTCCAAAAAATGAACAAGTTGTCAGACATAGAACAAAAGAATGGCTTTGTTTTTGGGACAATCTTCTAAAACCTCTAACCTCTTTGCCCCATTCAGTCTTGGCCTCATAACCACAGCTTATGACATGAATCGCCTCCTTGAGAAGAGTCGTGGGGTTGGTTGATGGTGGAAGACCTCCTTGTTCCATGAAGGTAGCTGCAATAAACACTGGCGACTGACCAAAACGCTTCTCCAGCCTTTTCTGGGACACTAGAAGAGACATCTCATCATCATAGCCTGCAAGAACAAGAACGTTCAGTGAAAATTTTCTACTTTCCCATCTGTAATAATGTGGTCACATAGAGGACGTGGCATACAGACCTTCAACACCCTCGTCAATGTCTTCCATACTGAAAAGTGGAACGTTGGAGTCACTTCTCTTGATGCTTCTGTTATGTTCGTAGTTAGGTATTTTTCTGCTCTTTCCTTTCTTGCTTGAGCCAAAACAGCTCTTTATAATTATATTAGGCTCAAGATCTTCCTCTGTTAGAACAGGATCATACCCATAGAGGGCCTGCCTGTTGAAACAGCAACCAGTGCCCACATACACAGGACCCTTGAATACCATCTAACCCCTTCAAGTTAATCTGCACAACATAATACACGTCTGAGTTAGCTCAAGTGGACAAGATATAACCGAGAGGAAAGTAAAGACAGTGGTTGTGAATAGTAGAGCTAAACTCACATCAAAGAAGACAATATTCCTGTTGGCGTATCGATCATGCAAGTCAATACCATCAAAACGTTGTGGAAACTGCACATAGCAGCACTTCTTTCCGATTGCAGGGTCCATCATGAAACACATGGCTTCCTTAATAGCCTTGCTGTTGTTGAAGTAATGATCACAATCAACGTTCAAAAGATATGCCCCATTAGTAAGAACAGCAGAAACACGGATCTGTCAAATGTAAGAAAAGCCAGCTCAGGAGACAGTAGAATGTCAGGTTTCAAGAAAGCATACTCAAAAGTTATGGACTAAAGGAATTCCCTAGATATGTAGTCATAGCAGCATTATGTAATATGATACGCAGCTACAAAAAAACGCTTCCAAGCCATTGAACAAAAGAGGGCACAACAGAAAATCGAAAGATAAAACAAACCAGGGCATTCATAGCTCCAGCCTTCTTGTGGTGCTGAAATCCAGGACGCTTTTCACGGGACACGTAGATGAGCCTAGGTAGCTCATTTCCATCGGTATCCAGACCTCCACTATGGCCTAAGAAAACCTGAATTGTAACAAAATAATTAGCATCAACAAACATTATAGATAACTGTTAGCCATTCTAGGAGAAGTAAAACAAAAGGAAGGGATTTAACTAGTGTACCTGAATCATCCCAGGATGGTCTCTAGGGTTGTTTCCAGGCCAGGGTGTACCATCCTCCATTGTCCAGCCATCTTCAGGAATCTTCTGTGCTTTAGCAACAAGGATATTGATCCTCACTTTAAACTCCTCATACTCTCTCTGCCAGCGTATGACAAAAGAAAATGTGACATTCACTCTTTAGTCTCGTAAATATGTCCAACAGATAAAACAAGTAGAAGCTATATATGCAATAATAGTAGTCCAAGTGACCTTCATTGCCCGTCTCTCTTTGACAAAAGAAGGTTGGATCTTATCCTTCAAGTAATCTATCTTCTGGGAAAAATAGAACTCAGGAGCTCTAGGTTCAATGTTGAATTTCTTGCAAAAAGGTACCCATTTCTTTGCAAACTCTGCCGTTTCAGAAAGGGCTTCAAAAGTTAGCATAGCTGAACCATCATCTGAAACATAACACGCAACTTTTTCTACTGGGTAGTCCACTAGCAAGGATCGAGAGAACCGTGTTTGCTGTTACAAGAGGAGGCTCTTTCATTGGGTCCACCGTACTAACAAACACATCCACTGGAGCTAACTGAGATGGTTCACCATCTCGATCATATCTACAATTAAAAGAAAAAACCAAAACCAGAAAATTCAAATGCAAATAAACAAAACACTAGAAGTTCTTATTCTCGAATACATTGAGAAATAGTCACACATTTCACCTTAAAGCAAGCCTGTCAAGAAAAGTCTCCCTGTTAATGGGATACCATTTTGGAAACTGATCAAGAAGCCAAGAAAAGGCAAACCAGATCTCACAAATAACTGAGGTCAACCACAGGCATATGCATCTTTCACGGGATGAGTTGTACGATAATGCAAGAAGACTCCCAAAATGATGAGCCGAAAAACTATCACTATACGATAAGGTGTCATGCGAGAGAATGGGAAATGTACCACACGGCTCATAGGAAGTCGAGCATCATCAACCCTGTAAGTACAAGATCCATCAATAATCAGAAGCAAACGAGTCAGTAAAATCATGTAACCTTAACATGTTTTCTGGATTAGACATTTATACTCGGAAAACAAGATCGGTTCTCAGCGTCACAACTAATAAATTGACCACTGCAAACTCCAAATGCAGACTGAAAATAAATCAACAATGTTTTTCTATAGTACTTTTAACTTACATTTGGAGTTCATCACCATTTGACCCTGTCCCTTCAAATTCTCCTCCCTTCCCTTCATGGTATTTACCAGTCATTTGTATTATATTTTTCTCCTGCTTTAGCTTTCAACCTTCAATCCTTTCTTTCCAGTCAACATTCCCAAGCCCATAAGAGTTCAAGTCTTTTGATGGGTCGACGATTCTTACAGGCACTGCATATTTGTATTTAACATGTGAAAATCAAAAGATAATATACAATATGAGGGCAAAACACACGAAGCAAACAGTTGATACATACCAGGTAGCTGTGGGTCAATACAAGGAGACAAAGTAGCTTTCCTATCCGGCGTAGGAATCTCTCCAGAAACCTATGTATAGAAATCATCAGGAAAAATTGATGCTGTGAAACAAGATTCATCTTGAAAATGTCATAATATCAACGTTAGCAGACAAATGATATATTAGTCCCTACCGGATGGCCATGAGTAAGAAGAGAAATTGGTTGGGATTCTAGTCGAGATGACGAAGAGAACTCTTCAGCGCGATGTGGGAGTCTTGCCTTGTTGTTTCCCTGGGTATAATCAAACTCATTCTCGATATCATTGACATCATTCTCTTTTTCATCTCCTTCAACTCCAGGAGTCCCTATACCAATGAAATGTGCCAAAAAATGAAAATAAAGAACTGATTATTAATAGAGACAAACCAGAAGATAATAGCACATAATACTACTGACCATTGTGCCGTCTGAATTTAGTCTTGCACTGAGGGCAACACTGAGATCCATCTTTCCTCTCATACTCATAACAAGACCGACACAAAGGGAAGCCACATTCATTACAAGCGACAAAGACATTGCCAGTTTCAGTGAGTCCAACATTGTCACCACAGATCTGACATATCTGACCATTAAGATCTTTCAAGGGTTTTAGCTGCGCTTTGAACACAAAAGGATGTTAGTAAGAAAAAAAACAGAAACAGATCATCTAAATCAAATCATGTTACAAGAACCATCTTTAAATGATTGCATATCTGAATTTTGGCTACTTTCACTCATGTTAAAGCTTTTGAAAGTTAGATTATAATGAGTCAGTGAGTATAAAGGCTTAGACTTTAAGAACCGACGATTAAGCAAAACAAATTAAAAACCGTAGATCAAGAACCTATAACTGAAATTCACCAACATTGTCCCTTCTAGATAAAGGGATAAAACTAAAAGCCAAAACTGGAACAATTCAAACAAATCAACAACATTTAGTCATAGTCATAGATCTAAAATATGAACAAAAGATATAAAAACCTTTAGAGACAAGAACATAACTTTATTCATAGAGACTGAAGTAAACCCAAAAGAAAAAAATTCTAATTTTAGCTGACACATTACAATTTTCTCCGGAAGTAAAATCACATAGAAAAGTTTAAATTTTTTTAGCTTTCATTAGCCAATGTTGGTTAAAAAAACCAACAAAACAAACAAAGATATCTAAATTAACCCTAAAGCAAAAAAAAAGGAACAAGAAAAAGCAGAGGAAACCAACCCCGTCATCGGAATCGTCTCTGTTCCGAACAAACTCATTTCTCCGGTAAGATCCGGCAACCATGCCGGGGTTTTGCTGCATCACTTAAGAGCTTAGAAACGTCGTCGTAATACACACTCCAAAAGTAAGATCTATCACATAACCCTAGAAATTCGCCAAATTTAGAGAGCGACTTTAACTACAATCTATGTCTACTCTCTAACTTGTCTCTTCTAGTAGTGTCCATTTTTATGTTTACGTTTCCATGATTTTTATTTCTTGCGAATTATATATATCACACGTGGAAGTCGTCGACCGTTCTTAAGTCTCTGTCAGTGGCCATAACGTTTGCCACCATTACCTTAAAATCAAACAAACTCATAATTTAATAAAACATTCTTAAAAAGGAAAACTATAGTAAAATGGGAATTACAAAGATACAGACGTTACACTTAGTTTTAATTTTTAAATTAATACATCAATAATACGAGAACGATGGTTCACCGAATGATCGTGGTATTTTTTTAAGAATATAACATTATTATTATTATTATTAATTCACATTTCTAACCTTCAAAGTATCACTGGGTAGCACTTTAAACCTCGAAAGAATTCCACTAACACTATAAACCATCAAAATAATTTTACTAACACTTTAAACCTCCAAACTACCTTTTCTGTTTGT